TTTTTACACATTTACAAAATCTACAAAGCTAATTTACAAGAACAATAATCGAAAGATGCACGTACAAGGTTATATTCAGTCATTTGTTTAGTGTATCAACACTGCCCTGCCTCATTTAAGCATTTAGATGCACCTATTGAAGAGAGTTATTTACATTACAACCGAATAAACAGTTAACTAATAAGAAGCTCTCCTTTAGATTGGGTAATCTTAAATGGTCAGACTAACATTCCGTAGGTTCACCCAATTTCATTTTCTTTGCTGGAATTTCCTCTCTTGGTGCTTGTGGGAGTGATGCATTTTGATCACTCTGAAATTCGCCCTCCCTTTTACGTTTCAGTGACGATTTTGTCTTTACTGCAAAAGGGTGTTGTTTTTTGTCATTTTGTTTTGGTGAGATTTTGGTGGACAAAGCGACTTGTCCACTTCTTTCACCCAAAGCTTTTGCAAGTTTTTCTAGACGCGGGCCTGTTACATTTGATTTTGACTGCAAAAGGGGGCTTACTATTTTCTCGTCATCATTTATGTCAGGTGTTGACAATGGCGATTTGTTTCCACTAGCAGGGGTGAAATCTGTATTTGCTTTACTATTGACAATTACTTTGTTGCTCTCTAAAGCATGGTTTTGTTTAGAGCTCTCTGTCGCCAAGGATGCCTCGAATCTTCTGCCTAATGCCGAAGATTTTATGAGAAAATGGCGCTTTTCTTCTATAAGCCGCTTTTGGAATTCACTTGGCAATGCTGGCTCGCAATAAATTAAAGAAGTGTTTAATCGTTCTTGCAGTTCATTAATAAAAACTTTGCTTGGTTTTGATTTTCCTTTGTACAAGCCATAGAACTGTTTTATCTTCGCTGTTTGATAGCAAGTACTGCTCCCAGGTTTCTGCAAAAGATTTTACGTGTATAAGATCAGCTTGTAAAAAGACATTTGTGGATATGCTTAACAAATTAATCAAACTACTTCCTCTGAAAAGATTCCTTCTTTCATATTCTACAGCTTTCTTAAACAGTAGTAATTCTGTAATTATTATTTTAATTTAGTCATCACCTCCAAGATGGCAATTAGCAAACGATATATGCTTCTATTAAACCTTTCCTCATTTATGAAAAAACAAGCAAGATGGAATTAAAAAAAGTTGTCTCTTTAAATTTTTGGCTTTTTCACCTCTGAATCTCGGTGGATGTGTTATGTAACGAATGTTGGGAAGTACTGTGCTGAGCGTATTTGAAATACAAATTTGCCATTTTAATAAGGAGTCAATATGTATTCATTGTAAAAGTAATTTGTCGATCTGGTTTTATAAGCACACACCGTGTAGAAGGAGATTGTCACTTACCAGAAGTGTAATTGCAAAATAGTATTGGTCGTATGCCTCAAAAATTTCTTTCACAGCATTGCCAATAAACCAAATATCCATCGTGGCTTGAGAATCTTGCAACTGAAAGAATGAATGAATTTTAATTATACATAAATTTTTGACTTTCTGAAATGTTATTATGCAGCCTGGTAATGTAATCCAAATCAGAAAAAGAAAGTAAATACTGGCTTAAAAACCCTGGCCAGAGGCTGCGCCAGCATTCGAAAAATGGGGAGGACTGGGAGTATGGAGGGAAGTTGAGAACGTCTATGGCGAAAGTTGCAAACATCTTTTATAGTTCTTCCCATGGCGTTGCCTCTGCGCGCGGCAACATAAATTCGTATAAATGTCTAGCATTATCAATGTAGAGATGACTCCTGCAAAGATTGAGACTAGTGCTTCAGCAACACTTACCGATGAAAATAGAGTCAACAGCTTGCACAGAATGGATTGGGTGATATTCTTTACCTGTTGAAAATGTTTTGGTGTTTTGTTAGCATTTATTTTTTATTTGTTAAAAAAGCTTTCTAGGCCAAGGTGGCCTTTAACCAAATCACAACAACAACATAACAACAACATTAAACTAAATTGAGACATTTCAAGTCTTCTTGACTTAATATCTAGAAACATTGGTGCCAAATTGTTGGCTGCTCTAAATAAGGGGCTATCAGTTGGAGTTCTTTTAAGAGGTACAATGCCCGCCAAAAGTGTTGGAACAGTCCCTTCATTTCTTTTTCCTGTTTATCTCATTTATATTGAGCTGGATTCGTCCACATGTAGGTAAATACGAGAAATTAGTGGTATCTAAATTAGGTACATACGATACGGTACATTGGTGGTGTCCCAATTCTCGTCGTAGCCCTGCAGTTCAGTTAAGTTGAAATCAATTTTAGATATTAAAAACTTACTTTGAGATATGAAAAGCTCCTGTGTGTGCTGTTCATCAACTTTGTTATCTTTTCTGGTTTCTTTGCATTTCCGTACTTCTTTATTGCCATGTACAGTGATTCTAAAATATATAGTACGGAATTAGGCTTCTCCTTCACAATGGCGCTCCAGGCAACTATGAAAATTGCACTGTAATGAATGGCACATCTGATCAACGAGTTTGTTAGCAATCGATCAGAAGACATAAATTATGAACTATGAAACAAGAAGACATAATCATTCGATGAAGATTCACTTACGAATTTCCTTGGAAATGCTTCTGTAGCGCATTAAAAGACTTGCCCTTGACATTGCCTTTTCGACTTTAGACGACTTGCCCTGAAAAATCGATAAAGAAATACAACTGACATGATTTATAATATAAAAACAAACAGAAAAATATCAGCAGAGAGAGTATAGAGATTTTACCCTTTTTACAGGATCCTTTTTCTAATGGATGTGGCTTAAAATCATTTCATCTCGTTAATTGGTAGTCTTTTTAAAGCATCGAAAAATTGTTTTTTCTGCTTTATTTCGTTTCGAAAAAGATTGATATCTCTTATCTTTTGATTAACTTTTGGCAGCTAGAGCTTTTGTGAAATTGGGTTGTAAAACCTGTCCTTTCTTTGTCACCTATAAAACGTTAGGTTTGTAATGTTTCCCGTGATATTTCATTTGAAGAATTTATATGGCAGTTTCCAGCTGTTAAGTTTTATACATAGCAGTAGAATCTTCATCTACTTCTAGAACCTAGGATGTGAAATCTTTAAAATGACAAAACAACAACTGTAGACCTAATCCAAACAATTCAATTGTAATTGTTATAAAAAAGAGATTTCCCTTGATGTCAGTCAGATTTTGGCTCTTCCAATACAATCCATGTACTAGCCTTGTTTTGCAGCGATGAATATAAAGCTGTTTTTATTTATTTATAATTCCATGGTCCCTTGAAAATGTCTTGAAACATTGTTCAAAAACATTGTATATGATTAGTGACATTCATTAGCAGTCTCGTTTGCACTCCCCGGTTGAGCGATGTTGCCTAGCAACATTATGCTCTAGATCTCCTCTTCCAGTTAAAAATTAGGCCAAATCTTCAATTTAATTGTCAAAGTTTCAAATTTTTATTTTAGACTGATTTTAAGCAGTATTCTGTTTTGGAAACCCTTGATTTTATTTTTCTCTGTCCACTTTTCAAAAGGCTACAACAGCGAAGCCGTTCAAGGAAGCCCAGGTATCATTAAAATTATCAGGTTTAATACACTTTTGGTTCCTAATGGGCAGTTAGAAATTATTCTGTCTGCACCAAGAACAAAAATACGACCCTTTCATCCCAAAGTCTGAACAACTTGTCATATCTTTAGAAGCTTCCTTGACATTTCAAGCAAAAGAAGTATGTGGATTTTAGTGGTACCTTTAAATGATGTCTCTAACGGCAATCACAAGAACACGTTGTTCGAAGAATGATTAATCAAACTGTTACATTTTTGTTGCAATTGGGACTGCAACTGTCTCTAAATTCTCCCTTATAAAATGATTTATAGAGGTATTTGTGTCACATTAAGAAGCGATGTGTGATACATTCTGCTAATGGTGTGTACATGAAAATAAGAAATCGAGAACTTTTGTTTCTGACTTACCGATTCCTCGAGTTTTTCGCTTTGCAGGTTTTGCGATGGACGTTCGAATTTCGACATTTCGAATCTCCAAGCTTTCTTCAAAGTTGCTCTGTAAATTTCTCTCGAAATTGTCAAGAAAATACAACAGACGATCGACAATTTTTGCTGAAGGATTCAGAACGTGTCTCTCCACTTAGCTGAAAAATTTTCAACAGAATTTTCAACCGTCAACTTTCATATTCATCTTATTTGACGTCACAAGTAGAACTTCATTTGTGTTGCTTGGAAACTATGGAAATCATGCTTTTCATTTTTCAAAATGGCTACGGATATGTCATCTTACCTTTACAGCCGAATACGAATAGTCAATAGTCCTCTGACGCTAAAACAAACACTGTATAAACAAATGCAATTATGGGGCTTTGGAGTTTTTGAAGAATGAAATTGTAGCTGACAGGATAATTGTTGAAAATAAAGTTCATGCTATGCTTTATGAAAAATAAGGTCTTTCAACACTGCATCTTCTTAATGCAAGGGCTTCATCGTCAGTCGGCCTGTCAGAGATTGTTTTTGAAAATGGAAATTTTCGAACCATTAGGGGGGTGTAGGGCTCTCATTCCAATAAGTTTTAAATGAATCTATCTCAGTTTTAGCTAAAATTTAGTTTTATTGCGATTTATATATTTTTTCATGACAAGCCACAGTCCTGAAAATTTAGAAATTCTGCTAATTAGAATTAAGGCAGTTTGCTGCAACCTGGCTATTTACACTAATTGTTTTACCCTAACTTTGACGGCAAAATTGAACAATAGCGGCAGGATATAGACGAAACAAACGAACAAGCACATTTGAATTTTGTTCTGAGGAAATGTTCTGAGAAAATTGTTTTCAAAGGCAGAAAAAATATTTTTTTAGGAGCAATGGTAAAAACACAAAATATGGCCAAATAATGGCAAATAATGGCCATAAAGTCTTGTGATATTATAGTTTGTACGGCTAAATGAATTGGATAATCATGCGTGACATAATAAACCGTGCATGTATATTTAAATTCGATCAGCTTTATCTTATTTTAATCTATCAATTTTTGCAACAGATCAGCAAGTTCAAAGAGGCAGCAAGAATTGTGAGTTTTCTCAAATTTCTTATTCATGACCTTTAATGACAGGAGTACAATATCGACCCATTGATATAAATGTAAAATGAGTTTAATGTTGCAAAATTTGTATTGAAAAAAACTAGAGTTATTCCTTTCTGCAGCAAATGATATAGGTCTATCAATATACAGTATTTTCAATCTTCATGGAGCAGCTAAAATTTTGTAGCTTTTCTTACGTGTTTGGTTTTAACGGAATTTCAAACTGACTTGATTCTACCCTGAAAAATACTTGACACCATCCGGATGATATGAAGCGTGTAAAGCTTTCAAATTTAAGATCATTTTGGCACACAGCTAAAGATGAGATGTTCTATGTCATGTTACTACTCTCCATCGTAGGTGCGCATTTTCATTAGCGTATGCAATCGCTTGATACGAATAGCAGCTGAGCATGGAAAGTACAACATCTTAAAATCAGATGCAAATGTTGAGTTGCACTCTGCTGCTGCTGGCTCATTCCAGGGAAATGATGACGAAAATTTGCTGTTTGATCCCGGGATGTATAAGTCGAAATCAGAGGTGATTTTTTATGCTGTAACTTGTGCCGAGCATTTCTTCTTCAAACCAATTTACACAAACACATTGTTCAAAGCATCAATACCCAATTTATTCATCATCAAACTAAGCTTTACTTTTGAGCTTTTTGTTACATACTTAGATTTGCTAGATTTCAGTGATGTACCATTTGTTACCTCTAGAAAATTCGATCTTTCTATATCCTATCCGCCCTTTCCTCTCTTCTCTAAAGACACCGTAGTCTTTCAATCATTTGTCTTTACAGAAGCATCGTTCTCTTTCTAGGCTCCTGTTCCCGCCTGGGTGATTGAAGCTTGTTTAAAAACTGCGGAGGAGAGAACGAATTCTGACTTACGGAAGCTCTGCTGCCTTATGAAGCAAATGGAAATCTTCCAAAAGTACACTAAAGGGATGCTCAACCTTATGGCCAAGGCTGCAACTTGGTCTAGGTGCCTAGCTTTGATTGATACTAAACGCAATGGTTACTCTATCTTAAAGAATTCGGTGACAACCTTCTTAATAACCTTCTCTGCCAAAATTCTTAGGGTGTTTGGCATCACTTTTGAAAGGCCGATCCATCCCCAAATCAAATTTACTCCAAGTCAACTCATCTCTAGACTTGCACTTTTGAAGTGCATCACATTTTGTCTCACATAGCTGGCGTTTTACATAGCTGGAGATTTGAAGCCCTAAACACTCTACATTTCAAAGTACTAAATAATAACAAATTAATAGCAAAAAGAACAACCTTTCCATTCCCAGACAGATTTTTAGGGAAATGCCACATTCCTATGGTTGTGTAATGTAAAAATGTAACCATCCGCAGACTTTTTACTGAAAAATGGACTATTTGTGCATGTGCATGTTCTCTAAATTTAGTAATAGAATGCACACCTTAACCTAATAGTTAAACTCCAAAAATTGGAGACAACAAGACCTCAGCATTGTGCATGAGCATTATAGGAACCGATGGAAGAAGATGATTCTCTAAATCATAATAATTAATCGTAATACGTCATAACCCAAGTGAACGAACGAAAGGGGAAACATCCTTTGTGATGTTCACTCAGATCAAATTTCTTTTAATTAATAAGTAGACTAAAGCCTAGCTGAAAATTTTTCTCCTTCAAGGTTCGACAGTGGGCGAGTTGTTATAAGAAAAGGTCACCCTGGAAGAACATTATATGTGATTCTAAATGGAAGTGTAGCCTTGCTCGAAAATGAAAACGAAGAAACCTCTTTAAAGCAACAAGGAAATCTGGTCGAGTCTAATACTGAGAACTCAAAGCGGGATGCAGTGTTACGCAAAGGAGATTGCTTTGGAGTAAGTGCATTTATCATCAAAACATGCGGACTTACTTTCTATTAGAGCAAAATACGATTTTAAGTAATTACTAGGGGGTGATCCTTATATTTAATGAAGCTATATTGCTGTTGCTGCTTATTCAAGGAGCTCTTGAAAGCTACAATTTGTTGGAAGAAGAAAGAGATAGAACAGTGAATCTCTAATTAATACACAGACACATCTCTTCCATCACTAGAATAACCTTTTATCAAGAAAACATCATTTCTTTGAGCCATTGACAGTATTATCTGGACAACATTCTTACAATAACTGTAAATTGAATCCTACAGAGAGAGGCATTCTTTAAAAATATGGAGAGACAATCTACTGCAGTTTGTTTATCGCTAACACACTTCTTAATGGTTAATTTGGATGATGTAAACGAAGTTGGGCTAGAAGAGTATCTCAGTCAAGAAATTACGACCAGATACAAGTTTCTTAGGTGAGTTTTCGACAACACCTATCTACCTGAAATACTGCCCTGGGTACCAGAGCCTCATAAATCCGGGATACATAAGCTATGATGGTACATACATTCAAATTGCCTAAAAGAGAACCTAACAATAAAAAAAGCTATCTTCCTTATTATTTACGGTCCGCGTAAGATTTTTTCTAAAAGTCCAACTACTGATTCCAGAGCCTTGTTAAATACTGACGTGTCTTTTTGTGACTTAATATTGTCCGGAATAACATTCCAAGCCACTGAACTGTGCTACAGAACAAGATCCGCATACTGCAATATCAGTTGATTCAAGCTACATCACGCCAAAGCTTCACCTATTATTTCTCGGGAACAATAGATACACTTCTTCCAATGGTGCAAATGGTTGTGTCATCTGTAAACATATGCATGTCTCCATTGGTGACAGAATCTTCCAGCAATTAAAACAACCTTCCATTCATGCTAACATCTTTTGATTTTGATCTAAATATGAATGGCTGATAGTGTCAAATGCATTACAAAAATCTAGCAAAATCACTTCACCTAAAAACCATAGTCTAGAGCATCATTCCACAGTGCAGGTAAATGAGGCAATAATTTGTTAGTTAGGCATCCTTGTTTAAATCCCCACTGCCCGAAACTCAACATCCTTTTAGGTGATTGTTTATAGATTTAAAAATGACGTCTTTCCGGAGCTTCTCTAGGACATTAAGAAGGCATATTGGCCCAAAGTTCACTCTCTCTGAAATCCCACATTTTGAAGACTGGGTTAAGGTTGAACCTTCCAGATTGACTTATATTTGTCACTGTCAATGTTTTTCTTGAGAACACGAACTAATTCTTTCTCTACAATGTCACCCAGCATGGCTAGATTCTTTGGACCTATTAGATTAGGCCCCATTGTTTCTTGGATTCACCTTCTTTTTTAGTTTGTCCCTTACTATTTCTTTGCTAGTTTGAATTTCTTCCATTGTTTGCAACAATATATGATGCCAAAAAACTAATGAAAATCTTTGCAATGCTAGTTTTCAAATATTTGAAATAAGCCAATGCTCATGGCCCTCATCAAGCAACCTCTTCTAGGCTACTTCCATTGTTTGAGAAGCTTCCCGACGAAAAGATTCGTCTGATAGCTGACAGATCGCAAACATACGAATACCTGGCTGATAAAATCATCGAAAAAGATTCAGGCTGTTCAGAGTTTGTTTACATTTGCCGAAAGGTATCGGTGTCTTGATTTTGTTTTCTTTCACTTTCCAACCTTAGTTATTGCTATTATTGATATTAAAACAGTAAAAGCACCGTTAGCTTGAAAAGTGTAGATCTTCAATAAAACTTGAAGGTACACTAGGGTCGCAAAGGTATGGAAGATAGGCCTAAACTGGTGGCACACAGAAGCTAAAGGCCTAATCCTCCAGGTTTCTAAAATTGAAGTCCAGGGCTAAGGGATTTCGGTGACAAGAGCTTTCGGTAGAGAAATATTTGCAATGACAGTGTATGGCTGTGAATGAAAAGAAATTTGAAAATCCATTTTTCTATTTTGAAAAAAAGTTTCCTTCAGAGCTTTAAAGAAGTCTTGGAAAAGCATTATAAGGAAGTCATATAAATGTGATTGAACTTAGAAGAATTTTTAAGAAACATATCATGAATCTTTATAAACTTGAATCTGAATAAGTGCACCTTTGCTCTAACTATAAATATCTTACTGCGAAGATTCTTTAATCTGAGAAATCAGGCTGTAGGCTATTAATGATATCAGTTTAAGTTCAAGGGATCAAGATGGTTTGCTTGCTAAATAACGTAGACAGTTTTGGTATAGATACTTCTCTTCATTTATTTCCATGACACAAAAGAATGACGACCCTTAACTTGTTTCTTCTATGTTTATTTGACAGGGCCAGTGTACTATACTTCGTAAAATAAATAAAAGGAGGAGCAAGGAGTTTGCATCAAGAAAAAGAAGCGAATCGCTTGCAGATGAGACAGTCAACACATTTTTACCCTTAACCACACCTTGCCAGTCAGTAATGAAAGCAAGAGACAATACGGGCACAACAACGGAGCTAAAGAGGTTGCCAGAGATAACTATGCATTTAGTGAAATCTCGGAACTTGATTTCTCGGCGATACCCACAAGAGTTATCTGATAAGTCAACGGAAAGCCTATGGGGGAAAGTGGCGAAGAAGAGTCTTTGGCATTCCTCCTTTTCTAAGCACAGATATTCGGTGGGTCAAGTCCGTACCGAAGCCTATAACAGTCGCTCAAGGATTGACACTGGTTTCTGGGCAAGAAAGGACGGGTGCCGTCTACCTATAGAAACTCCTGATGGGCTTGTTGTGCAGGTTGCGCAGTTGTCAAAAGGCGATGTTTTTGTAAGTTAAAGTTTTTTCAAAGCAACAAAAATCACAACCAGCTTCACATTGTAAGAGATTCATTTGAAATGAGATCATGAATATAGACTATAAATTTGGTATATCTAATGCTTCTTATTTCATCCTCTTTTGCAGTTCCAAAGTTCCTTGCGTTGTTTAGGGCTTTTTTTCTCTATCTGTTAAGGTTGATGATATTAGAGGTCATACATAAGGGGGGATGGGAGAAAGGGTTCAAGCTTTGGTGATGTTACCTTAGTGATAGTGGGATCGTCTCTTCCAAGGAAAATTGCATTTCTTCCAAGAAAGTCAAAGAAAGTGCTAACTTATGTTCAGTTAGTTAAAAATTTGAAATCTTTTCGATGACATTATTATCACAACGTTTAATCTATTCTGTGGTAGGAGCATTTGTGGCTTTCATAATTTCTTTTATTTGCATTTTTGTAATTACCAAACTTTGTAATTCCCATCCTGTGTTTATAAGAGAAATTTTCTTCCCAGAGAAAACGCTGAGGGGGAAGGGAAGGGTTTGCTGTAAAAAGTGATGTCCTAAGCAATGAAATGCAGAAAGATTAGGCCATGCATTTTATTGTAAAAAGTGATGTCTGATAGCTTGTGACACAGTGGTGACAGAGAGAAAGGAGATTGAAAATTCTTACATTTAAGGTGATGTCTTTTATGTATGGCTACTTATGTTTTCGACCATAAATCTCGATCTTGCGTATAGGGATTTGATCCTTTTCTGAATGAGGTCGTAGTCAATGATAGTGATTTGATCCTTTTCCGACTGAGGTTATCTGTGGCAGCATTGTTCGTCGCATGGTTATATCATTCACTACATTTGTTCTGTAGGTTTCAATACATTTGCTACGAATTTCTGCTTTTTGTTAGGGTTTGGATGACGGGGCTCAAGAGGTCATCACTTCCAATGAAAAAAGGAACTTCATTCTTGTCAGTTCCGGGTGTGAAGTCATAGCTATCAAAAGACAAACATTACTTCAGAATCTGAATTGCCAGACAATTGATAGAATAAGGACAACAGAAAGACCCTATGCAAGCGACGATGAACTGTACAGTGCTTTTTGCGAACAAATGCAATGGAAGTCTTATCGAGAGCAGCTTGTTGGACGGCTTTTAAAATGGAGAGGAAGTAGCTCCAATGCGAAAACCATGTAAAAATGAACGATTGTCTTATAATGTTTGAGGTGTGAGGTGTCTGAAATTTTAAATTATTGTCGAGGCTCTATTATTTCCCAGTTGAAACTGGTATGACAAGATTTGTTTTTATTCATATGATCAGGTGAAAATATTAACTGATAAGAAAACAAACGAGCAATCAGCAATGTTTCTCTAAGCTGTCAAAACTCCTTCTTTTAAGCAAGATTTCTTCTCTAAGCTTTCAGTGTTGATCAATGCTGGATACATATAATTTGTTCCTTTTAATGACATAACGTACGTTGCAGAATTCTATACCGTGATCAGTCTGGTATATGTTTTCAATTGGTGAATATATTCGATATCAAGATCGAAAAATCACGCTTGGCAAATACGAAACCATGACACGATGATAAAATGAAATTTTTCATTGTCCACGATTGCAAAAGAATAGCTTCAACAGCTGATTTTATATGAGAAATGTAGATAAAATTCCAGTCAACCTATTAATTTATTATTTTTTTTATTATCGTACATTTCTTACTGATCGATACTCATTTCAATAAATCAAATACTTTCCTTTGATTCTCCTGACTAAGTAAGCCACTGTTTTTAGATAAATTAGAAATAAAAGAGATTGAAGCAGGTCAAAAATAATTCGTTAAACCTTAGCCACTCTTTTGCATCTTTATAACGGTAACACTGTTATATATTTATTGTAGTACGCTAGTCAAATATTATTTAAGGTTTGTGTTGAAAATGTAAAGGGTGGTTTATATGTTAGAATCTGGCTTGCCCTTAGATGGTTGAGTCCTTTTGTGCTTGTAATTGCCGTTCAGTTTTTAACTGCATCTTTCAAATATAAGTAGAATTTAGGAAGAAGAGTTGCTGCCGTGTTTTTTGGTGTTTTGCGAATTCTGTGAAACTCAAGTGTGCCAAAATGAGGGCAATGTTAGATAAACAATTGGACTTGAAACTATCAAAGCAATCAAAGTAAAATGCAAGAATTCCAAACAAATAAGTCTTTATTCTTCTTTTGAAACTTCGCCATACAAAAAGTAAAATGTAATGCTAAAGAAAATTTATCCTTATTATGAAATGTAATTAATTATCCTAATTATAGCAAAGAGTAATTAATTATCTTATTTCTTGGGAGATGAACACAGGTGCGTAACTAAGTTAACTAATTTTGGTGGGGTGGTAAGGATTTCTGCACTGCAAAATTGAGTGGTGCACTGAATACTTATTTTTGATTTAGGGAGGGGGTAACATTGTAGCGGTATGAGATTGAAGGGGTTCAAAAATTGCACCCTTCCAAAAATATCTTACGCCCCACCCCTCAAAATTGATAATGGCTGGTCCCTTATTTTGATTTTGCTTTTTAATCAAGCTAAGCTTAACACATCGTATGTTTTATGTTTTTCACCTACATGAAAGGGAAAGGGCCATGAAATTGTACCTGGGGGCTAAGAATCAAGTTTAGTGATGTAGGAGGACCCACCATGTTTGGGTCCGAGGCGAAAGAATTTTTTTTGGGATTATACCTTGTAGAAGGGCTAAAAAGCATCTCCCAGAGTAAAATTAAACAAAATACTTTACCGCTTAGGATAAACGATTCGGTGATTAACAACTCAGAAAAACACTGATCCTCCTCCTGATTTCCCACCTCTCCCTCTCTTGATTTTCCATCATCCCCCATCAAGCTTTCATCGCTGGATTCCTACTCGAACTGGTACGTATAGAAACATTTGATTATGTTGTTGCTGTTGTAGTTTGTTATTGTCACCCGCGTGGAAGGTTGCGTTTGTTATTGGAAGGTCTAGTTGCGATTGCGAGTGGGTATGAGTGTTCAGTTATTTCTTTTTATCTGTTTACAAAGTTTGTTGCCGTATCATCCAATTTTTATCCTTGTTATTTTACACTATCTTCATTCTCTAATTTTGTCTAATAACGTCTTTAATTTAGGTTGAAATGGCTAGATTTTATAGTCTAGGCAACATTTCATTCATTCTTCATATTAGATAAATTCTTTACTTCTTGAATATTTATAGTGTAATAGCATTCATGTTTAATTAGATATGTTTTTTGTTACCTAGGTGAAATATGTTGTTTATCGAAATAAATTTGACTTTGAGTTTGAATTCAAGTCCAAAATTGATAAAATGTGCTCAATTTTGAAAACACTAACAACCACATATAGTTTGATAAAAATAATTTCCACATTTCTAAAGGGTTTACAGGAAAGGATTTCTTATTTTAACTTGAAGAGCATCACTCCTGATTTTAACTTGAAGAGCGTCACTCAAAAAAACTGTATGCCTACAATGCTACAATATCTAAAAATCTATTCTCTGTTGTGTAACATTATTTGTTATTCAATTGTAATTAAATGTGCCATTAAAGCAAGATTCAGCCCTGCATCTGATATGACAGAACATTGCCCAGTCAAAATCAAGCACTTTTCACTCTATAGAGTTCATCATTTTTATGCATAATATTGATAGCATTAAGACACCTTGGCCAGGAAAGTGCGCTTTCACCAAAGTTGTCAAACTCAATTTAGTAACAATTTCGCTTTCGATCAGATCTTGACAAGCATTTCCAAAATAGATTTGTTCAGCCATGCAACCTTCTCAGGAATATTGCAAGAGGCAGCTATGAAACACAGACCTCAAACTCTCAGTGAATTCAGTTCTTGGTTCATGCAAAAAATTTTCATTAGCAACATGTGATAGCTTTCAATACAGACATTTTTGTGCATACAGAGATCAAATTAGATTTATCAAAAGACTTCCAATATTGCTTCCAATGTGATTCGCGGTAACTGAATTACTTACAGCGTCCATAGTGAATATTAATGGTATTGTGATTGAGTATAGACAAAAGTTAAGATCTGATTCCAGGAATAGGGATGTGAAATATCACGTGTCTCATTTTAAAATGCAATCTTCATTAATTATATGTTGTATTTGTTTAACTCAAAAACTACTACCTTGAAAAAGACATCACAACAGCAGTGCTTTTGAAGGTTGAATTTGCTTGGAAACATAGCAAAGCAGCTGTCTTTGATTGTTTGATTTGATACAAAATCTCTCTTTTGTAAATAACGATGAGTATGATTTTGTCATGTTGAAAACTTCTTACCTGTATACATTTGGGGGGGGGGGCTACCTGAACATAAATTCCAGTTAGAGATTATACTTGACATGGGGGAAGGGCATAAAAACTCATTTTTTAAATGTGTGATCCAAAATCAACTTGCTTCCAAATAACTTCCTTTACCTCCAAATCTATACTTAGGCTTAGTTTTTACTTCAAAGAAATCTTCTCCAAGTTTTATGCCAGATCTGTTTGAGAAATACCATGTGCAAATCACCTGCAGGAAGTAGATCACTTGTATGTTGTTATATGAATGAAGATTAGTGCATTTCTAAAATAATTTTAAAAGTTTATAAAAAGACCAAATCTTCAGGCTAGACTCTGCCCCAATAATCGTGAGCTAAAACACTTTTGTCAGAGCCATTCCACAAGATGCTAATCTTGTAGGATTAATACAGAAATTATGCACCTAACTTCTTATATAAATCAACAAGTATATCAGCAGAAAATTGAATCCATTATTGTGAAAGAAAGATCACTCTGTATAAAATCATCAAGAAACAAAATTCTTGCACCAGTCCATTTGAAGTCATGAATTTATTTTGTTAAAAAGCCTGAAATATATTATGATTTTAAATAATATGTGACAACTTTTTTCCAGTTATGTCATCTTCAAGGCATATTGACAACAATGCTCCTGTTTATGTCAAAGGCCATGTTGATCTTCAGGGGTCACAGGTAAAATTATTGCATTAAAAGGGTTCTATTTTTCCCTTTTTTGATTTTAAGAGCTTTCAATGAGGAGTTAAGTGTAAAAGAAGTCAAAATATTTTATCTTTAAATTTTTCTTTTTAATTTGAAATTACTTATTACACATAGTGTTATCTTAAATGCCTTATTCAAGCTGATCAAAATGAGCAAATAATAGTAGTTTCTATGTTTTTAACAATCTTCTTTGTTTAGTTCAGCCCTGGTGTAATTCAAAAGCTTAAAGCCTGGATTCAATCAAAAACTCAGCATCTTCTAAAAGCTGTGAATAGCAATGACACTGACTACAGTGTATATACAGGGAAAACAGGTACATTATTATTTATTTCTTCTATGTAGTATTTTTACTCAAGGTGTGATCAATAAACATAATAATTTAATATTGATTAAGTGTTTTGTTTTTTATATCCATCCCTCTTCAAATATGTTTCACCCTTGCAAGGAGAAGCCATTGCAGACAAAAATTGTCTAATTTCACTGCAAGCAGAAAGCATGTTTTCTTTGTCATAAAGTCTGAATATTTCCTATTATGGTGTATTTGCATATTAAGTAGTATAGTTGTTGCATTCAGCAATTATCCATAAATGCTAATACTACCTTTATCAGTGTACATCGTTTTGCCTTTGAAATTTATTTATGTTTTCTAATCAAGCAAAGCAATATTAAGGTTTGAAGTAATGCAATTGTAATTTCCTGACAGATAAAGTTTTTAGGAAATTTAACACAAGTCCTAAAAGATGAGCTTGAACATCTGCATTATTTATCAGTGGCATTTGTTAGAATATCGAATTTGATAGGGAAAAGTGCATTAACTCTTTCCGAAATAGCAATTCTTTTTTCCAAACTTTTTCTGTGTTCAAAGGTCTCAAATGTCATTATTATTATTGCTGATTTTGTTTCATGTCGCCTATAACTAACCCTACAGCTTGCATTGGGACTACAGCTCTTAACTGCTCTATATAGATTACGTTGCAATTTCTCTACAATAGATTTATCTCAGATTGAAAGACGGTTACCAAAAATAAATAAGAATGCTCCAAGTAAATAGTGTAATAAATAATTTTTCAACCATAGATGCAGGTTTTTGTTAAGTTATGATGGATTTTTGTTCGCTTTTAGCTTAGTACAGATATATGTAGACAAGAATTTTAAATGGTCCTGGAATATTCACACAGTGTGCTTCTTCAGAATTCTTGATAAAGCAATTTTATGTTGATTACTAGGGCTAGCAATGCTGTTTTTACGACTTGCTGATACGATCTACAAAGGCACTTCTTTTGAAGAAGAGCTGGTAAAGGCTGCAAGGTCAGTTTGTGATTCAGCACAGAAGTTTCTTCGCGGGAAAAGAATAACATTCTTATGCGGAGATGCAGGCCAGTTTCAATTTCTTTTGCTTTTAAAATTTAGCGTGGAATTTAAAGTCCCATCGTGCAATGGCAATGTTCAATGTAATGAAATACAATCTTTGATTCGCCGAGCTTACAATTTCTTACTCTTCTATCTACTTGTAAACAGGACCCTTGGCATTAAGTGCAGTTCTTGCTCATAGAGAAGGTAATGAAGGAAATTACAATTGCTGCATCAGTGAGTTGCAATCGATGGTTGATAGGTGCTGTAATGACAGTGGCCTGCCAGATGAAATGCTTTATGGCAGGGCTGGATTCCTGTTTTCTTTGTTATTCGTTCGAAAGCACTGCGGTAATCATGCGATTGCCGATTCAGCACTTTCCCAGGTAACAGCACATTATGTATTGTAGGTTTCATTTCGAGATGATTAGTTATTTCGTGGATGTTACTTGAAGTTAAATACCCACCAGCACTCATTGCATTTTTAAGGGCTCATGTAAGCACTATTTAGATCTCTGTCGCAATTAAAACTTTCTGTTCATTTTGAAGATATAGATATGGACCAAGTCTGAAAATTCGTGTTTTAGTTGTTTATGTTGTGCTAGAAACTATTATAGTTTTTATTCGAGGTAGCGGACGTTCAAACTTTTAGTTGCTTGTAAAAATGGTACTTCAAAGAGATAAGATAGATTAGTGATAGCTTCATTGAATTTAACCTTGCTTGTTGAAGATACTATGGATTTTAGCCAGTTTTAAATGCAAACTGACTCGCAGCAACCAAGCTGAATTGCTGCAACCAACCTGCAGCCTTAAGGACATCGTGCCATTTCTCTTATCTGCTGATCTTTGAAAAACTTTAGCTTTTGATCGAGTTACAAATTTCTTCAAAGCATAAATTGTTGCCGGGTGTTATGCTAAGAAAACTTTTTCTATCAAATTATGTTTCCTAGTAATAAACTTGGTTATGTCACCATATCTGTGATTAAGGTTTGCCAGTCGATAATCAAATCTGGATCAACCAATGCTGGCGTCAGTCATGCAGGCATTCCACTGAAATATGAATGGCATGAGAAAGAATATATCGGTGCTGCACATGGATATTTGGGGATACTTTTCCAGCTGCTTCATGTAAGTCTAGTTATCCATTATTTTTTATTAGTTTTTTTTCTCAAGGTATTGTAAATTCGATTCATCAAAAATGACTTTAAAAACGCAAATATTAAAACACACTTCAGCTTTTTTCTGATCCTCGTCAGAATATGAAGTTACAGAATAATGATAGAAAATACTCAGTTGGCGATCAAAAAGATATATTTGATAAAGTTACAAAATGGCGACACTCGTCAGAGAAACGTTGCTTTAAGAAAATGTTTTGCCAAAAAAGTTTATTTAGATTTTAACATTTCAATTCATAAATGTTTACAGCGATACAGCTGAGATTTAAAAAGTTGCTAAGAATATTGTGTTATATTCATTACTTGTAATGTTATAAAATTATCGTAATCGGGTTTCTGTTGCAGCCTGATCTTCTCAAATTAGACGTAGTGCAAAGCTCTCTGAATCTTATCAAAGAAACGTTGGATATCGTAATCGATATGAGATTTCAATCTGGTAATTTCCCGTCATCAGTTGGGAATAATAACGATAAACTGGTTCAATGGTGTCATGGTGCTCCTGGTGCAGTTAATACCCTCATAAGAGCATATCAGGTAATGCAAAAACTGCTTAAGACAATTTCAAACCATGTTATTAATTTCTTTGAACATGGACTAGAATATAGAATTTACACAAATTGTACTGCAAGTAATTTAATTATTTTTTTCTTTTTTTTGGGTATAAATTATGTTATGTATATAAATCTGTAAAGCCCAACCAAAGAAACTCAACATCTATTATCTTTGCTTTATTATTTAAGCAATAGATGAAAGAGCTGGGATTCGGAATCGATACATGCTAGGTTTTCGCCAATTAGCCTGGTTTCATTGTACCGAAGATTCGTTTCACCTTATGTTTATTTTCACACTACTTAATGCAACAAATTTGTTCCTGTTTAATGCTTTGAGATCTTAAAATCGTTAGATTAAATGCTTTTTTGCTAACAACTTCACTGCCCGCAAGCGAATAAAGTTATCGTAAAGTATGACATCCTGAGCAATCATGCAACAAATTTTTGTGTGATTTGCATTTTATGAATTAGCTTTTTTGTTGATCGGAATATGAATTGAAATTTCTTTTCAGCTTTGAATGACTGATAACTAAATGGTGTATATTTTATTGAATCACTTTAGATCTATATGATGTGAATATGATAAATTATGCTGGCATGAAATGTTATCAAAACCGAGTGCTTTGCTGCTATTCACCAAATTTTCGGATCTTGGTTTTTAATGCCTCGATTGCATGCCATTCTTCTGGCAGGTTTTCTCCGATGCGAAGTATCTAGATGCTGCAGCAAAATGTTGTGACGTGATATGGGATCGTGGCTTGCTGCTAAAAGGCTACGGTATATGTCATGGCACTGCAGGCAATGCGTACGCGTTTCTTGAGATGTTCAAAGCAACGAAAAATGAAAAATACTTGTATCATGCTCTAAAGGTAGCTTAGGCTTACCTGTTCAATTGCTTTTTCCATTTGTTGTGTAATTGCAGTCCAAGTGAATCTTGCTCTTTCAAGCAACTCTCGTACAAGGGCAGGAAAGAATAGCACCTTTTTATTTTGAGATTTTGATCTTAAATTAAACAGCACTTTTAACATTTCATAAAACATTTTTATTGTCAAACAAATGATGCAATTAGCCAAGAAACTACTGCCACTTTGTTTTAAATTGTAAAATAGAAATTGTGGTTATTTTTTGATATATTTTATTATTCTTTAGCTTTGAAATAGAAGCCAGTAGGTAAACTCGGTTGAAAAGCAAGTCAGTTTTACTGCCACTTGAATTGCAGTTTGGCGAATGGTGTCTTGAGTATGGGAAACATGGATGTAGAGTACCCGATCGACCGTTGTCTTTGTACGAAGGTGCGTATGCAAGAAACTTATTGAACCATTCCTCTGTCGCATGTGTGTGTGTGTATGTGTGATGTTTGCACTCATGCAAGTCCATTCGGTGATTCTCTCATTGCAGGTCTAAAAAAAGGGTGTATGTTTTCTGTTTTGCTGCATTAGATTAAATAAGGCAATGCCTTGAATTACTAAATTTGTATGTCGTAGCAATTTTCAATTCTGCCAAAAAGCAAAAGCGAATTTCGATACAATGCTCCTTTGCATTTCGTGGAGTTACATTTTCTTTTCATTTTCACTTCCTCCAAGTAGGCTATCTTTCTAGAAGCTTGTGTTTCATTTGGAATCTACAATATGAAAAGTGAATCAACAATTGATAACGAGCTTTCTTTACTTCTGTAAACATTTTCTGGTTTATTTAAACAACTTGTTATATTTGAAAATCTTTCAATAGGATTTATTCAAAAATGTTTCTCTATTGACATAAGTGTTATCTTTATAATGACAAAAAATCGGCTTCTTTTCGTTTTGTATGAAAGGAATACTTTATATCCTAATCTAAAATTTAGTGAAAAGCCTTTTCAAGTGCTAAAATGCATCCTTTTGTTCTATTCATTGTTTTAGCCCACTTAAAACCGTTTTCTGCCTTGCTCTCTGCATTTTAGTTTGTCAGGCCTTTGTTTTCAGAAATAATGAAAACAAAGGAATGAATTGCTTTTACGAAGTTTTCGTAGAGTCAGCAAATTTTTTTCCCGGAATTCTAATAATGTTACGGATTTTAGCATTGCCATGCTAAATCTCGATAACGAGACAATTAAAGGCCTGTGACTAGCTTCCTGAATTCAGTTGCGACCACTTGAATGATGAGGATCTTCCATAGTTTAGTCTTAAATTTTTACAACAACTTTAGTGAATTCCGTTTCTCTATTTTAGGGCTCGCTGGAACAGTTTACTTTCTGGTTGATTTGACCAATCCTGAAAATGCTGGATTTCCTGGTTACGAAATTTGACAATGCAATGAAATTATAGCTTGAGGTTAGGTTAGTTTGCTATCCGGGGCTTAGAATATTTGTTGGGTATGGGCATGTTGAATTTCTTCCGTTATGGACAAGTTTCGAAGACATAAGAATCTGTTTTCAGAATTTATAAATTCGAGTCATATAATTTGAAAGAAAAATACACTAACGAATACCGTAATTTTTGAAAAGTTAATAAAATCGTGTAAAAAATTTCAAATTTTATTAGCAGTTAAAGACCTGCAGCTTACTGAAGATTTATTGTTTTTTGGCTTGGTTTATTGATTTGAAAACCAAGGCCTAATTATAGAGTATTGGTTGGGAAGGTGTCGTGCTCATTTTGCCTTATATCAGCCAGTTTTTGAACGATTCGTCTTTTTGACAAGGTGCTCTCAAATTTATGGTCTGAAGTAAGAATTTCTGAAAATCTATTTTTGACGTCATCACTACCGGGCCCTTTCTCCGCTATGTCGACGTGTTTGTTGTCTCTTGCCTCTACCAGATGAAAGTTTCTTTTCTAACATTTGTCTGATTTTGTGCTGATTTATTTAAACCCTTTTCACAAATCAAAATTGTGAATGCCGACTTTATTGTCATTTTTACCACAAATCCTTGCATTGCTTATCATTTTTTGTTTCATGAAATTCGTGTTTCAAATGAATATTTGTTGGTATTTGAGATCATGGAATCTTGTTTTTTCGTTTAGAATTTTCTCATGTATTTTTACATTAAAGCTGTTTTGCAGCTATGTAAACACACTGTATGTACTTTCTAGAGGTAAAGTCTCAATGGACAACTTCTGAGAAAATATTTTGGACGTTAACAGGTTTTGTGCTAGAATTAATTCCAACTCACGTTACAAAAATAGAATTATAAAGTAGCTCTTTGTAAAGTTAAAATGGAAAATCTGACATGGTGTACCTTTTTGCGTTCTTCGATTTTCAAGTTATTGATTCTTTCGGCACAAAGCAATGCTATCCAAACAACTGATATTTGTCTTTTGGCGGTTGTAATTGCATTATGGGATAAGCCGAAATGCTACGTAGCTACTTATCAATAGTACACAGCTTCTAGTTAAAACTGGATGATTGCTGATGAATGGGATTTTGTTTAGTCTGACATACACTCAAAGGAAAGACACGCGTAATCCACGACAATACTTCAATGCCTCGTAGAATTAGAAGGTATCAACGCCTAATTGTTCCTCTGCATCCGTCTAGATTTGCATCAAAGATCTAACGAAAGATTATATTTGCGATTCGTTTAGTGGTTTCCCATCCTTTCGCTTCGAAAAGCTTTTATGGACGGGGGCTGGAGCAAAGGATGCTTGTTTCATTATGATCAGGGTATTGGTAGATTACCCTTCCTGCTCCAGTGATCTCTTTTTGCTCCAATAAGATATAGCACCTCCTCCATAAGAACAAAAAGTGGAACGAGCTGAACAACCCTAACGATAAGTTATGGTAACAACATTTTCCAGCAGAAAAAGGATTTTGTTTATCATTTTTTGATAATATATTTCGATATGTTTGTTAATTTGAGAAAAAGAGTTGCGCACCACGAAACCTCGTTTTGAATTGGGTATGTCTGTGTCACTGGTCTGGGTGCGCTAATGATAATGACTTCGCTTTCCTCCCTCTGTTCGAAACATTTTTGTGCATTATGTAGTATTTATGTAGCTTATTGACTGCATTTTACTCTATTTGTATTTGTTGACCCAGAAATGCAATGTTACCTTCATAATAATGCTGAGGGCATCACCCATTTTGTAGTATAAAAGTGAATTTAGTATCCGTATCGTAAAAATCGTCATATTGAAAGTAATTTATTTATGCTGTAGAAAGATTTTCTATTTTTTGTAGCCATGAAAACAAGTTTGTTGAAGTTAATGCTGAAAAATACTTTCCAGCAACGACCCTGTTGGTCATTGAAAATAAAACGATGAGAATTTCAAAATAATGAATTTGCGATGGGGATCACCAATACCACGGCGTGGAAAACCAAACTCTTAGCATATTCAAAAATTAATAAAGTTGATGAAATTATTTCAATCTCGATGTCAGTCGTGAAACGCCTTTCTTGGGCAGCCTCAGAAACTCTTAGCTTTTTCTCAATTAATGAATTTGAGGCACAGGCGCGCAACCAGAAATTTCAGAGGGCAGGGGTCCAAGACACAAAAAGGGCACTAATTAAACTTCATTAAAGGTCCACCGTACCCTGGGTACCAGACTCACTATATAAAATAATAGAGTATTCTATTTTATTTCATATATAGTGAGTCTGGTACCCAGGGTAGGTCCACCGGGGCATTTGTTTAGGTACACCGAAAATATGAGCAGTTAGTAAATCTGTAAATATTGTACGCCAGACAAGGAAAACTGATCAAAAGAGAAAAGTTGTGGTGTACGGTTTATTTTGTGGTGAGGTGTGATTAATTGTTTCCTTTTAATGTTAACTATGCACATGACTTCTTTCTGTCTGCCACCCAGTGCCGCCGAGAAGTTTAGGAGGCCCGAGGGAGGGGGGAAATGGAAAAAACAATGCTTCTTGCGAGCGAAGCGAGCAAAAATTTTGCCACCACACCCTTGCAAATAGCTCAAATTCACTAATTCGTTTAAGATGTTTTACTTTTTAATTGTAATTTTGTTACTTTTAATAAATTCCATTTAAGAACGGGATTCATTGCTTTGTGAGGCTCCCTAGACCTCGAGGCCCTAGGGCAATTTGCCCCTTTGTCCCCCTCTCGGCGACCCTGCTGTCATCTCCTTTTCCCAGCGCCAGCTCACTTTTGAATAGCAGCCCATCATCTTCCATATCCGAAGACATTTTGCTCTTTAAAATATTATTAAAGAATTCTTTGCTTCGCACTACAGATGGGAGGAGTTTGAACAGTTCCACGAGCTTTGCCTTCAGCTGGTTTCTGTCTCCAAGTCTTGCCTTCAGCTGATTTGTAATACTGACAAGGAACGGAACAGCTGAACATCAACTTTTTGTGCCATCTTTACTGCTTGCAAATACCAGTCCGAAAATATTTCTCTGCATTCGCTCGTTTCATGCAAAGGTCTTCTATGACCCTGTCAACTATGTGACAGGCTTGAAAAATGTCTTGGTTTTTATTCTTGTAACTTTTTACCAGAGGTCGTAGAGGCTCTATCCCGTTCAAAATCTTGTGCCTTTATTTTGGTTTTTGAGTCCCAGAACCATTCTTTTTCAAAGCCAGTGCGTAGCGCATCATAAAACACGCTGTAGAGTTGGGGCTTGAAGATAGACTCTATTACTGAAACATGATGACGTTCGACCCAACAAGTACGTGAAAGTTTGACTAAATCATTTATCTGTATTCCTGCGAGGTCCATTACATCTCCAGAGTGTTTCATTTACTGTATGACCAACCATTTTAGCGTAGTAATCAAAATATTCAAGCAATTTTCCAAGAAAAAGGGCACTTTTCCCCTTTTGAGAAAAAGGGCAGGGGTCTGGACCCCCAGGACCCCCCCCCGTAGTTGCGCGCCTGAGGCACGTGTTTTTTAAACTGAACTTTTAAAAGAGAATATATTGACCTAGGAAATGCTGACAAAAACAGTACCACAGAATAGACAGTACACTTCAACATAATTAGATTTTTTACATTCAGAAGCACCTAGAACGTTTTGGTTCATTTACGGATAGGCAGGGCCCACGCCATCGAGGGGCCAGGGGCATGGCTCCCCTTTTTTCGAAGCAAATAATTCCAAAGCTGCAATTAAAGATGAAAGAAGCCTTGCCCTCACTTTTGTTGGCCTTGTCCCCACCTTTCGTTGGCTTGCCCCAAACTTGCAAACTCGTGGCACAGGCCCTATTAGGTCTTGACTTTCAATTTATCAGCTACGAATGCTGAGAAGATTTGTTTTGTGCCATCAAACAAAGCGAAAATTCAATTGTAGTTGGTGCTTCTGACGTGAGTTTGAAAGTTTTAAAAATAGAGTTATAGAAATTTACAAAAGATTTTGTTTGATAATAGCAATAGCAGGTCATAGCAAATTTTCATTACCATACATTTTGCATGCCTTCGAAGCCATAGAAGCTTTGGTCAATTTCAGACAAAAGGGTCTTATTCTATTTGTGTATGGCCTGAACCTTCTCATTTGCAGATATGTTACATGCCTACTTACAACATGATTTTAGAGACCTTTACATTTTATCATGTCCTGCTTTGCCAGCGACCTGGCATAATGGTTTGCCTAGTGTCCGTTACACGCCTTATCGTTCCCTCTAATTACCTTAACATTCTCGTTTGTATCTTGATAATAAATCAAACGGTACTCTTTTGAAATACGAAAATGTAAATCTAGTATTGGAGCCCCCCGCCAAGGGCAATAATGTTTCCAAATTCAATGGGTTTGCGGAATCTGAATATGTTTGAGGCATGGATCACTTGGCCTTTTGTTCCCATTCTCTCTAATTTTATGCGACATCCTCTCAGTTGTCGTAGGGCTAGTTAGAGAAACTATCTGGTTAATGAAGAAATATCATTTTAAGAACAATACTATCGAAGTTTCAGGGTATTGGATTTCAAATCAGAGAATATATCTTCGATGTGGTATTGCGATGGACGTATTGATATTGGTGCAGTGAGACGGCATATTTTGCATTTTCGAACAGATGGTTAACAAACATGCCTGCCCTTGCAACCAGAAAACAAATTTCTTCAGGTATGTGATTTTGCTTGTATTTTCCGGTCGTCAAACTCTCATTTTAGTCTCTTTCCGACCGATGCAAGCAGTTTTTGCGGTACGATTTACGTTAAATAGGGTACCCTAGGAATTTTTTCGCTCTAAATTACTCTCCTACACCATAAGGGATATATTTTTGTACATTTGTTCATTGTCTATGGTACCTTTCCAAAATCAAAGTATCCAGTAAAGTTCCTAACCTCTAAAAGTGGTTTTTACAAGTTATTTGAATCTCGCACTACGTTTCATCAAAACAGGAACGCCATTACCTTTTATCAACCTTGCCTTTGAGCTGCAGTCTCGACGAGATTTGGCTTTTTTACTTTCGCTCTCATGTTTGAAGATGAACGCGGAGCTGTCTTTTCGTGGAAAATGTCAGTCTAAAAAGCTGCATTTCATGATTTTTGTTTTAGCAGAGGGGTGAATGGTTACTAGCCCGTGAAATTTTTGGAATTCCTACATATTTGCTTGCATAGGAATTCCATAATATTTGCCCTCCCAAAAGCAATTTGATCTAAAAACACAAAAAGCTCTAACCAAATTCGCACCCAGTTTCCATCTAAACCAGAGAATATTTTTAACTGCCTTAGATTGATAGGCTTAGAGTGATTTCTATTGATATGAGCATATTCAGTTGGTTTTGATCAACACAAAAACCACATTATGAAAAGATAAAAAGACCAGGCCACATGTTGTTAATACAATATTCTACTCAAGAATGCCAAATTATTTGGTATTTTGAAACACTATAACTGGCTAAGAACTTGTGACTATCCTCTGCTCAAGACTAGCTTTTTCCCTGCCGTTCACCACGTCGATCGTGTTATTATCAATGGTTGCTGCAACCATCTCTATAACCATTTGTTTCATAGCGCACCGTGTGTGCCGCCTTTAATCCGTGCCATCGGATTCAGAGGATTAATATTTTGACCAACAAAATGCTATTAAGCTGAGAGAACGCTAAAGAGCCTTCCGAAGTGTGTAAATATCTTGACCGAAAATAAAGAATATTTGGTCTTTATGAAAGAAACTGTTGTAGTAAAGGAACTGAAATATGCCAGTTTTACCCTTTCAAAATACAACATGCCCCCGCCTCGAAACCTCTCGCAATTGCATCTTCTGTTAAGAGACCGAGCCATGTGCTTTTCCATCTTGTCAGGAAACCTAAAAATGGCGCTCAGACAAGCGTTTATCCTCACGGTACTTAAAGGCTAGCTTTGGTTGTTTACATAGCTGGAAATCTGCAAAACAGCTTTCAAAAATACAAAAGACTCTGGAGCATGAAAAACTGTTCCTTCTTTAATCTGTTTATTCGAATAGCTACCCGTGTTCACGGAAAACGAAATTTGAGGGCGAAGAAGAAAATTGTATCACAATCGAATTAACTGATAAGATAATAGCAATTTTTGACGTTCACCAAGAGCCTGAAAATGAGCAACACATCTGTCCAATATAAAGTTACTTTTCGGGTTAAATTATCTGCGCTTAGATAATCTCCAATTGACAAGTAAAAAAAGGTTTGTTGGCGTGTAGCATAACTTTTTTTCATGCGAAGGGTCTTTGCTTTCTCTTTTATTAAAAAGAGCCGGTACAAATTTTTCCCGGTGGATTTCCACGTTCAGTAAATATTTTGCGTAAACTGAGATGCCTCCCATATTTCCTACAATTTTCTTCACTTATTTAACTTTTTTGCTGCTGTGTTTCCTGCAATCTGGTTTCCCTCCAATCCTTCCTATACTCAATTTGCTAGCCTTTCTGTGAGAAAATCTGTCAATTTTTATACTTCAAGAACCCGGAGACTGCCTGCTGCTTCAAAATGATTACAGACCGGAGCCTTGGTGGGAAATCAAATAATCTCCCTTACCTAAGGAATGCCTTATTTAATAATGTGTTGATGTTGAAGCTTTTCGTTTTAATTAAAATAATAAGATTCAGGTTCTAATGCATATAAGGAGAGGTTTTCCAGGCACGTAAGTATATAGGAAATGATTCTTTCTTTTGCAAGAAATACGTTGGAGTCCAGTCTAGTGCTAGTTAACATGCAGGGTACGCTTAGTCTCCGTTTGTAGTGTCGCCAGCCTCATTTCTGATCAGAGGTAATCAGATTTACCAGCATTGATCCTTTGTGGCCATTTTCTGTTTCTGTATGCCCACATATTCGCCATAATCGTATTAAGGCTTTCTCCACTTAGAAATAATATCCTTAAGTTAATCTTGGCTTTCTTTCATCTGACCATGTCTCTTTTCCACTTGTTTCCAGTAATAAAAAACTATCCTCCGCTATTGGCTACTTCCAAATTGTTTCTGAGACAAGCCATCAGTTGTCACTGAACCTTTTCCATGTAACAAACGCTGTGAAATCTTATTTCAATTTCTAATATTTGCATCTCTAATTCGCATTTGCATAATCTAATTTTTGATTGCTTCATTCCACTTCAGTGCAGTCTTAACCTCTTCTTATTTGATCAGCACGATTAGTATTCTGGGAGAAAAAGAAAATATCATTTTTCTAAGCAGAATTGTTGTGCGTCTATTAGAAATAGAATTTTCTTTGGAATTCCGGATCTTTCTTATCTTGACCATCTAGTTATGTGCAGGTGATCACAGGAAGCCCTATAGATACTTCTCGTTGAAACACAATTTTTGAACCTCATTTATCCCCAGCTCGGTTTTACGACGAAGTTACGCCGATAAAATAGTTTGAGGCAAGTTTGAAGTTGATTTTGGGCCTCGCTGTCATTTGATTTGCGACTCTTACTTTTCCAGACGTTGCCTCTTACTGAATTGCCAGATTTCAACAAAAGTCGCCAGGCTTCAACAGAAGACACCAGCACTCAGTTACCAGTTCCGATTTATTGAAATAAAGTAACAAGTAACAGATGAAAATTAAGAGGAATCATTTTGATAGTTGACAGCCAGTCTTTCTCAAGTAAAAGCAAAGTTATAAGAGTAGAACCACTCTTGTATGTTAATTCTACCATACTAACACACGGTTTATATATATATCTTGCATAGAAGATTCATTAAGGTCATACGTTATAAATATTTCCAAACAGGATCTGTTATCAAAGGACCACCACCCTACCAATTTGATAGTAAAATGCTCCACTCTAGGTTTGTGTTTGGTTAAAGATCATTAGCAGAATTTCCTAACACTACAATTCTATCATTTTTGCCATCGGCTCGGCTACACATTTCCCGTAAATAACCTCTTTACTGTGAAGACCTTCTGTCCCTTTTGAAGGATATTGAAACAAGAGTAATGGCCCTAGAAGAAGACATCGCTGAACTGAATTCCGTGCTCGACGATCTCAACAGCATGATGAAGGATATCAGCGTTCAAACAGTTCTGGAGTTTTTTCCATCAAATAATAATGAGGTGTTGCATTAGTTTTCCTTTGTTTTAAAATTTACTTTGATTTAAAAGATAAGTCTGATTCTCAACCAATTCAAAGCAAGGTTTAATCCATTTAAATCAAATATTGCATTTGTTCTCCAGCAACAATTAGCAATTATATTGATATAACAGCATTCTGTTTTGCTGTAAAATGTTTTTGTTGTGGCAAATGGACATTCTAGAACGTAACGATAAATTACATTGTGCTCATGACTCAAGTTTTTCTTGCACCAATTTACGATAGATTTAGAGCTAATAGGTTTTGTCTGTGTTATGATAGATCAATATCTGTCTCAAACTGTCGCAAACTTCACGGATGGGTACCATTTTTTGTTGCTAGGATGTGATATTTTTAAATACACCTATTTATAGAATGGGGCATTGCCGTCAATCACAAACCAGTCAGTCTCGACTATCATGCCAGCTTAGAACGCCATCAGAGGCTTGAATTTTAAGTAAACGAGGCTCTTAGTTACTTCAGACATAATTCCTTCTCTGTCTTAATATGTTATGACATTTAGTCATAAAAGCACAAAACATTAGATGATTATGACCCATTCATTTCGGTTCTGTCAGCTGATGTAGGCACGTTGGTGACCAATCTGTTGCCGTAGGCCGCAAGGACATTTTGACATTAATTAAGTCTTGCATCGATTATGGTTTTTAATTACAGAAAATTACATTCATGCTTCTCCTGCTTGATATTTCAACTTCTTTTGCAGACATTTAAAGACATTCTTACTTCTGAAATGGACACTGATGGGCCAGCCGGTATATTTCTTGACACATTTACTTTTATCATTATCGTTTCACAATGATGTTTTCCACCTTCATGTTTTCCACAATGATATCATACGTTTGCTGAATTCAGTACCATACTAACATTAACTGCAGTGACTCTGAAGGAAATTCTTGAGAATTTGTTTTCATTATAGGAAGGCTGTTGCGCACTCTGTCAAAAGATGAAGGAAACAAGAGCCTTTTACATGCAAATAACATTAGCAAAAGCAATGAAGTACAAAGCGTTAGCTCTTGCAACGTCAACAGCAGTTGCAACCATGAAAATGACCAGGCCAGCTCGGTCTCCTCAAACTCTTTTTCAATTGATGAAACTATAGTGGATCTGGCCTACTGTTCAGAAGGAGGCTCGCATACCAGGCCGAATTCGATTGTCAAGTTAAAAAGCGAATGCAGTTCTGAAACCAGTACTGAGTACGAAAATTCTTCGATGGAAAATTATCCACTCTCCAACGGGAAAGTATCACCTGAGGTATGTTTATTCTCTGCCTTTCTGAAAGCAACGCTGTAACTAGCATATAACATTACTTGCAATTGTTATAACAAAACATATCTAGTTAAGGAGCACTCTGTGGGTCGCTCCTTTTACGTGCTTGATTTCATCGTAAAAGGTTTCATCCTTTTACGTGCTTGATTAACGCCGCAATTATCTTCATAGAAGTTGCATGTCACTGTATTTTTCCAAGAAAGGCCTATTGACCTGGAGATTCCGTTTTCTGCTACTGCCAAGGACATTGCACATCGCATTATTATCATCAACCGTCTTCAAAGAAGCCAGGAATGGACAATTTTTGAATGCTTAACGGATTATGATTTGGGTAAATGAAGCATGTTTCCTTTAATTTCTTATTCATGCCTTTGCGCTTTGCAGAGAATTAGAATAACATGCTAGCTTATTCTATTTTCATTTGACGGCAACTTCATTTGCTCATTACCGAGGCGAGTTTAAGTCTAACTCAAGTATCTTTTGATATTACTGTCATGGAATGCCTGCCTATAGTGCGTGGAATCCCTGTACTATTAATACTGTTAAGTTGCTAATGGCAAAATAAAATAAAAATTGAACCATTCCATCTATGAAAATCAGTGAGGTGAAAACATCCACAGTAAACACATTGCACAAGGTTTGATATGATTGAGCATCTGTTTAATGTTTAAGGGCGCTGTTTCTCATGTTAGTGAATAGTTCACGTCAACATTTCGCCCAAAGCGCGTGAGAATTTAAAACTGCTGGTAGAAAGCTGATCTTTTGCCAGAACTTGCAAGTGTAGAAATGGTTAGAAACAGTCTGTTTTGCCATTAGCTATGCCTTTTCACAGTTCCGATGAACAGTCAGTTTGCTCCCCATGGCTTTTATTCTGCGTGAAAAGCTGTGCGGTTTGCCATATATAGCTGACACCCATCTTAAAACATGAATCCAAAACCTGATGTATAATTCATCCAGTAGTTTCAGAGCAAAATCATATGGGGTTTATGTGTTCGCATAAGCTCACCAGTGATTCGTTATGGTTCCGAATCGTTGGCCATATAACTTTCAAAGCGGAATACCTTGACTTAGGGATCGAATCGGTTTCGAGCGTTATCGTGTGAAAAGAGCGCCTGTCCGATATGAATATAGACCCAATACGATATGAATTCAGTTTAGCGTGAACAGGGTTACAGTAAAGGAGATTATTTTCAACTTCTATCAAATTCCGGTGATAGAGTTTGTCTTTGTGTAAATGCAAGATTATCCAATGAGTTAGATTGTTATTGATTGTAGTCAATCGCAGTTATTTCTGGACTCCCTTCAAAGCAGAGAAGGTCTCTCTCTAGTAGCACCTTGGTTAACATATGCTTCTTGGCGCTTCTAAGTCTTAGAGCTTTTGTACTGTCGACAGCAAGACACCTGCCTATAAGGTGCGTATTGCAGCAAGGAGTTTTGAACGAATTTAATAATTACTCTCACAAAAATGGTCGAAAGTTTCTGAAACAGTCTCTGAAACCTATTTAGTTGGCACAGTATCGTAGGAGAATGTAAGCAGGAAAAAGTTAATGGCTACCGCTACAGTATAAATGTCGAACCGGATGCCTTTCAAGGCATTTCTGCAATAAAATATATTTAAATAAAGGTTTTTCTCATTTCCATTTGCGAAGCATTGTCAGTGAATTCTTTTTTTGTTGCAGAACGAAATTTAGAAGATCACGAACTCATCAAAGATGTGGTCAAAAATTGGCCTAAGAATTCGGAAAACCGTCTGCAAATGAAAAATTTCACCAAAAAGTACGAATGTTTTGAAAAACCGGCAGTAAGTTGTCACTATTTTTCTTACATATACCTCTGTCAATTTCATTTTTTTAATGCTTCTTGTCGTTTTCCATATATTTGCACGAAAACTGCGAACTTTGCTTTTTCTTTCATGACTTTGAGACTAAGAAAGAAAACTAAAGAAGGCAGCTTCATGTTTTATTAAAACACCTCGAATCGGGTCTTTGAGCAATTTACAAGTCACAAATCATTTTGCTCCATTGAAACCGCGTGGAGCCCTCTACTTGTAATGCATGTAAAGTTGCCTAACAAGCAGTTGCTTTTAACAGTTACTTTTTCGTCTGACCTGCTTTACAAATCATTGCAGATCTACTTTCCAAGCTATCTTCTTTGCAACGATGAGACAACGAAAACTGCCACACTAAGAGCCGATGAACAATTGAGCCCCGAATATGCTGTAAGTCATCACAGCTGACCTTTTCTTGGTCGAATTATTTTTACGAGGAAAAATGGCTGCTTTGCGACCATCAGCGAGATTGATTTACCATTGTCTGAAAGGAAAGTACATCCATGGCTGTTTTGCGATGATCATTAAATATTGCCTCTGTTTTAGACGCTTGTTGATGAGAAACTGGATAACTACTAATAATCGTAGCCTTAAAATTCTTACTCTTATAATTCAAGCACAACTTCTATATTGTTTTTGTTTACTTTTTTACTTATTTGATGAATTTATTATTTTAGAGTTATTTCATGTCCGACAACAAAGTTCCTCAATTGGAAAACTTTCTTCACTTGAAAGAATATCGCAAAAAAACATGGAAGAGAAAATACTGCCTGTTGAAAGCTTCTGGTATTTTCAGTTCAAGCAAAAGTGGCTTTAAGGTAAAATGGCAAGAGTTGTTCCTGAACAAAAATATAACTGCATTGCATAATCGTACGATATCAAAATAGTGCTTGGTATACTGAAATATAGGGATTATTAGACGAGGGTTTGGATAAGGCACTGCCTTCGTTAGGTTAGAAAGCTGTGTGCCACCATTCTAGAGCATTGCCGTAGAAGTAAAATATTTTTTGAAAACATCATTTAACCCTAAGCCTTGTTTGACGAAAGTTCAACGAGAAACTAGTATATTATTCAGATAATTATTTCAAACTCGAAGAAAGTATGGATAAACATTTTATCGCATTTTGCAGAGGAAAATACTAAAGTCGTCCTTTTTTGTCTTGGATAGGAGCTCTTCTTTGCGCTCATAGAATTAATTTCAGGATGCGATTTATACTAGAGTGGTCTGTTTGATAGTGATAGTGAAAATGGCTCATTTTTATTTGATAGTTATCATTTTCAGAGCGTTCATGTTTCAAGATAAGTAAATCTAAATACCTTCGTATCTTATTCGATCATAGAGACATTACCTGATCAAAACATACAGGTAAATTCTGTCTAATTATGTGATAAATTCTTTTCATACAGCGAAGTTCAAGAGAAGTTAAATGCAATGTCGAGTTTGAGGACTGTAAACTGTTTTTTACTACATCGTCGTTCAAAGGGTCACAAAGTGCTCCATTTGCCCATTGTTTCTGCTTTGTTGTAAGTTTGAGCTTTGTTTCTTTATATTTTCGTTATTTTGCTATCGAAGTCGTATTTTGATAGTAAGACACTGCATTTCGTGGAGAGAAAGTTTTTTTAGTTTGATTTGCAGGCGACTTGAATCCCAGTCAAATTTGTTTAAAACTTGAAAGAACCCTCAAAATCTTCTCTAGGGTCAAAATGAAATAAACTTTCAAGCTGTATGATGCCAAAAAGATAGTGTACAATCAGTATATGCACGTTTGAGAAAAATTGAAACATTCACAGTTGGAAGCATAACATGTCTATGAAATTAGAATAACTTTGCTAAAGGGCTGTGCCTTTAGATGCAAATACTTTCATCTCTTAAATGCTTGCAAATATTTAGACTAAATTGCAAGAACTGCTACTGGAAAATTGGCATTTTGTAACAGGGTATTTTTCCAAGACACTATCATACTACAATTACATTTTAACCTGAAGCCCAATTTTTATAACCTTTGTTCATTTTGTAGCCTGACAATCTTGCATTCCATAAAGATATCAAATGTTTCTGTGCTGAAAATGAACAAGTGATGCAAAGTTGGGTTGTCGGATTTCGACTTGCAAAGGTGACTATTGGAATTTTTTTGGATCTTTCATTTATCATAAAAGTCGAATAAATAGATGACCCATAGGAATGCTAGTTTTAGATGGATAAGTAAAAATACAAGAATACTAGTAAACAATTATTTAAAATATGTTACTCAGCGAAACGATTAATTTTGAACGTGTGTTTGTCCTGCTAAAATCATTAATTATCATCAGCATGCCAGTAGGGGTTGACCAGGAAAAATGGTTTGGTTTTCATAAAAATTGTTTAAACTAATTAGAAAAAGAACTGGGATAAGACTGATCCTTGTGATAGCTTTATTTTCTGGAACTATTCCACAGAAATTCTGATTAGCTTTGAAACGAAAAACTTAATGGTTGAACAACTATCCTTTAACAATTGATAAACAGTTTGTTATGGATAAAAGAAAACGTTATATAAGAAGATATCCTCCTTTTTGGAATTTTGTATGCCACTTAATGTTAAAAGGCACCGTTGATACTGATTTAGAATTTAACACAATGTCACACTAAGACTGACTTTTGCAAGCAACATCAAAATAATCTTAACTTAGTCTTTGGCATGAAACCAATCTGGTTAGAAGGTTTGCAATGTCCTCACAATACCAATTTTTTACTTTTGATCACCGAAAATGGGGTCGAAATCAAGCTCAAAAATTCATATTGGGGTACTTTTTAAAGCTGTAATTAGTGCCCCGTTCTTTAGAGCAATTTGTTTTGTTTAGAATGTCTACAGAGAGCTATTGTAATTTCACAAAATGTAGGGTCTCGTAGTTGATGTGGCATGAGAAAACGATAAACTTTCAAAGCATCTTGGTTCTTTTGAAGCAGGTCGTTAGATTCCGGTTAAGAAAATGGCAAGTATAATTGTATGCGTATAAAATGCATATAAATGATAGAACATTTAGCCATTTAGTTTTGAGCACTTGGAAGCGATATGAGTCTACCCATATTCAACCGATTCTCTTCTGTGCAGAAATAGACGAATACATTAAATAAAACAGTACGGAATACTATTTTCTGCGAAACACTTTGTTTTTTGAAAACAATTTGGATATGAAAAATGCAGTTTTCATGACAAATAATTGTCAATGACTATAAACTCAAAGTGGGGATCTGAACCAATAAACAACCTTAACATTTAAACATTTTTTACTTGCGTTTTATAAAGCCTTTAAAAAATTCTGCTGCAAAACTCTCTACACAGTCAGAAAAAATGGGCAACGTCCATTGAGATCGCTTCATCTATGCTTTTCATTAGATGATTTTAATTTGTTCTTCTCAACATTCATTCCGAAAATATCAAAAATAAGGAAATTCAATTACTGGAAGAGCATTATTCAAGCAATTATTTGTTTGGGAAATGTACCATCGCTTTTTGCAATGCCAACGTTTTTCTATAGAACTTTTGATTACATTGCCAGTTTTTAAATGACAAAAGAAAGAAGCACAGACTTAGAACGATGCCACCCTATGTAAGAGACTAGCAAAAATTTTAATTTTGGTTAAATTACAGTAAAGTAAGCCCATACTGTCATAATACTCATGAACTCTAGTAGAAATAAACATAATACTAAATACACTAGTTACAAGATCAAAATGGGAATGGCAGAAAAAATGAGAGCTGTGCAGCTCCCTTGCGTGTAAATCCACAAAACTAGTGCAAATATGTCAAAATATTCAATCGACAAATGAAATCATATCGATGGTTAATTTCTCGTTTTTTAGTATGGCGTACTTTCCAAAAGAAGAATTGATCCAACCATTTGCTTTTGCAAACCCCTTTTTTAACAAGAGCTTTCTATGGCATCAAGTCACAAAACAAGTCGCTCGAAAGGACACTAATTGCAGCTCTGATTATGGCAGATTTTCGTGTCGCGATTCCGACCCTGCTTTGCCGCATATCAATAAGTGTGCTAAAGTTGCATACTGGTATCATAAAATGCACAATTGCTCTGATGAATACCCAATGCCGCCTTAACTGCTGGTGCAACTATTCACGTATATCGAGAGCAATTACATGCCGTCTCGGCCACCTGCCCTGTCCGATTGCAGTTTTTATACTATTTTGAAATTGCCTAATAAACTAGATTTTATTTTAAGTTATTCTCTACCATTTGTCATTTCCTTACCAATTTATAAATTCGTGGTGTATTCTCTTTTGATGCGACGTTGATGCTGGTATACGAAATCTTGACTAGGAAGTCGCACTGTTTTCCATTTAGACAAGATAAACAACATTTTGCAGGTTCTCTGATATAGCGAATTCTACAACGTTGTCTATAGCATATTCTATAGCGGATACTATGATTTTGCGTTCAATGCACTATAGGTGCCTGATGTTAGACGTCTTTGTACTTTACTCCACCCAGCTAAATCCTTTCAAATCAGTCATGGCTACAACGGAGAAGAATTTAAGAAATTTCAATTCTAAAATGTATATAAATTCGTTTCTAGGAGATGTGTAAATAAAAAGTTTAGTTTATTGCAGCATATGATGCCTTAGCGTTAATCGTGCGGTAATATTAAGACCTTGCTCGGTTTATACATTCTTATACTTATGTTATAAGAACAAATGGGTAAACATTTCGGAAACACAGGCTTCTTGAACTGTTTAAAATGGGTTTGTATCACTACTTTACATTTGTTTTCAACTTTGTAGGTTCAACACGCATGTGTCTAAATTTTCACTGCTTTGTACCTCAATCTAATACCATCAGCTGTATTTTTTTACCTATCAACTTTATGCAAATTATACCTTTTGCTGTGATATTTTTCATTCAACGTTATTCTATAACTATCAGTCTCCGCCATTTTTGCCAATTTTTTCCACATCAGATATAAAGTATTCTATAAATTATAATTTAACTATTTCTATTACTTGTGATACTTCATCCAAATAACGATAATATAATGAGCAAATAAATTAGATAACGAGTCGCTCGAAACGTCGTGTGTCTAACAATCATCACTTGAATTTTGTTTTTAGTACTTCATTTATTCGCTCATTTTATTGTCGAAAAAAATTATCATATCTAACAAAGCTTAATTGAATTTTTCTAAATGTCATGAAATTTGTCTGTCTATTGGAGTGGCTTACTATCTCTTTGCATTTGCTATTTCATCGCAATAATGTTGGTAACATATTTTAAGCTGTTTCTGAAATAGTTTCTTTTAATTACAGTTTGGCTCGAGATTGTACAGGAATTATAAAATTGCCACTCAGGATAACAGAGCGGCTAAAACTGTTTCTGCGCCGGTTGATATGGTAAGATATCTTATTCTGAATGTACCATCCTTTTTAATCAAGCAAATTTAGAGCAAATCTTGCTTGCTTGATGATTCATGATGATTAGATTGGATTGCTTAATGATTAGACAGGCAATCATCTTTTTACAAGTCTCGGTGACTCGTTTCTCTCATTAATGTTAAGGCTGTCACCTACCTATTCCTTCGTCAAGTACTTCCTTACATGATTTTCAGCTATCTTTTCTAGCATCTTTGCTATTTCCATTTCTACTACCTTGCTACCCTGATTACCAGGGTCTCAAAAAGAAGTCGAGTCCAACAATCGAAATGCGGAGTTTGTTCAATTCTTTCACTGAGGCTTTAGTACCGAAGGCACGATGTTGCAAACACGACTCATGTTAATTTTGGTGTTACAAAATTTTATTGTATTGCCATCTGGAAAATTAAGTGAATCCCCTAATTTTTCTACAGGATTCTGTTATCAGAAGAAAGCGTCCGTCAATTGACTATCGCGTGCCTATCGACTTTTCTGGCAATGCAAGCCGTGTCGTGTCAGACCCCGATGCAGCAAAAGCAGTTATTAACTCAATTTCGTCTAAACTTCCGGTAATTATCACATATTTGCATTATTTAACATAACATTTGCAAAGCCCTTTTTTCCTTTAGACAGTTTTGATTTTCACGAATGTTTCAAGTTGGGAAGAATTTCTTTTTTCTGACTTCTATGGTATTTTGCTGAACCATCAAAGTCGATTTTGATGTAATTGAGGTGCAAAGAGGTAATATTCGAGCAAAGAAAGTATGGTTGATTTTGGCAGACAATGACTTTTTATCTTTGAAATATGCAAATAAACTGAAAATTTCTTCGACATTTATAACTACAATTTACGTATTTGTTTTATTAGTTAAACTGATCTACGTCGATTAATCATTAATACCCAATTATAATCCAAGCAATCGCCATTCTAAGCAAAATATAAAGTAAAATTTTCAAAACAAATTTATATATTTCTCAGCTCTTGGTAGAACAGCCTTTCAGTCGTTTTCCAAACATTTCTTAAGAATGGTTATATCTTGATCGTTTTGTGTGTACAATTTCACTTTGTTGTTTGCAGAAGCGCTTGAAGAGAAGATCAACTGGAAGTTTTCATTCACCTTATTCATCCGGGGTGCCAGCTGTCGTTGGTAGGCGTCTTTGAAATATACAAAATCAGTTGCTTGGCAAATCTGATAAAACACTTTCTTTCTAGCTTAGGAGGTTTTTCCAATTAATAAAAAGTTCTTTGCTTTCATGCTGTTGCATCTTTTGTTTGGCTGAGCTGCGTTAAGCAAGATTTATTAGTCACCTCTGCTAGTTTTTGTGATTTTAATTTATTGCTGTGCACGCATAGAGATGATACATAGATACTTGTGTCAAACAGCAAACAATCTTAATCAGTTTTTCGCAAGCATGGATAACTAGAAACAAAAGATTCTGGTTCTTGTTTAATTGTGATAATATTAAACCTCTTTTCTTCATGCTTCCAACATTGCCTCTACTGGTTTTCCCATTCATATTGAATTTCCTTACAGGCACTACGTATTCAAACATGAATGAATAGCGGTTCAGATCCTCTGAGGTTTTAATTTGTTGTTTTTAATTAGATTTTTAATTCTGATTATTATGCTCCAGAGAAACCATGGTTTCATGGGAAATTGGAAAGAGAGCAAGCTGCAAAGCTCCTTCGAAGCGGCGGCCTAGAAGAAGGGTTAGTGAATTTCACATTTTCTTCATCCAAATCGAAAGCTATTTTCATTTCGAAAGCTTTTTCAGTGTCTACATAATGTTGAAATTTATATATTTGTTTCTACAGAGCATTAATTTTATTTCAGACTGTTTTTGGTCCGAGAGAGCTGTACGTCAGCTGGCGTCCATGTCATCAGTCTTGTGAAGAAAAAAAAGATTCTCCATCATCAAGTCTTCAAAGTATGACATTTTTTTCCCCTATTTCATGAAAACTCCAGCAAATTATTGCTTGATGCTAGCTAGTTGCATAAAGCTAGTTGCAAAAAGCTTGATTTAGTCCCATAGCCATGTTTGGCGGTTTTCGTCGTGCTGTTTCGAACATTCAAATGCCACGTGTTTAAAGAAAAAAGTTTTTCCCGATTGCCGATTGTCCTGTACATCTACTGTTCAAATGTTTGCAGTTTGATTTTTGCAGCTGAGCACCGGACCCGTTTCGAGTTAGTGTTATCAAGGCTTTGCCTGTTTCCATTCCTGTTTAAATTAATGCAAGTAAATTGTAACTCAGAAACTGTTCTTGTAAATAAAATCTTTTTTGCTGCAGCATTGAATTTTAAAAAGCATTTTCGATAATCATGTGCCCTTTTCTTGATTGTAGGCCGTTGGTGAAGGCCAAGTCTTTTACGGCCTTGAGCATGGGCCTCGATTTCAGTCGCTCGAACAGCTCATAGAATTCTATCAAAACTACAGACACGCTGGAAAACCTCCATTGCTGCGAAAAGCTTGTAAACGTATTGAAAAATAGATCAAAGTTTATTTTACTTGCGAATGCCTTGGCTGGTACATGGACGCAGTCTTGGCAGTCGCTAGATGACAGATTACGAATCATGAAATCGTCCCCATGCCGCCAGAGATGATACAAACCACCTTGTACAGCTGGGAACGTGGAGCCTCAGTTGCACATTGAATGCATTTTTTGCGCCAAACTCTTTGTAAATATTGTAATGTACATAAACCTGTTGTTGTCTTAATTTCATACGTCAATGCCTCTTTTTTATTGAAAACCTTGTCTTGCTAACACTCAAAATTGGAAAAAATACTGGTGACCATAATTTAATTACACGTTTGCAGTTTTATTCTGCCTCAAAAAGATCTTAAAAAATCAGAATTTAATAATCAAAAACAATCCAGATATATTCGTGCAATGATTTATGGAGGCAAATAATACCACAAGTTTTTTATTAATGATTTTCCAAGTAAATGTTACGTCGTTATTTCACAAGAACAAGAAAGTAGAAGTACACCGTGAATCAGAATTCAGTAATCCTTTTCTAATCTTTCCCTATGCGTTGTTTGAATCAGTCAAAGAAACCTTTTTTCTATAGTAAGTGAATATGATTTGACGATCACTGATCATCATAATGATAGCACCAAGCAGCTGACTAAAGAAGACCACTCTGAATCAGCAGTACACAGCATGATCTGAATCAGCATATGCTTGATGCTGTAAGAGCTATATCACCATTCAGCATTCCCTTTTTATCAAAACCAGTCATTCAGTTCGGTCCAAGAACAGCAATCTGTAAGTTTCCTCTTAATACAAGTTACAAGCCTTGAAGATCACTGACCTCTCGATAACTTTGAAGAGATCTCCCTACCTGCCATTTGGTGTTTCCTTGCGTCTAACGACAAAACATTATCCTCTGACTTGAAAAATATCTTTCTCAGTAAGTTCTTGACGGCAGACCTAATTTCGCTCATCCGAAGACAGTATATAGCTGGGTTTATCGAACTGTTCATAAGTATAATTGTCTCGACAACTTTGCTGATAATGATAATTTTTTGACCGGAAAATGACTTGTAGCTGATGCAGGCAACATGTGGCACGTAACAGACAAACAAGACTGCTATTAAAATGGCGACTGTGTTTGTTTTTCGTCTCTCTTCAGGTCGTTGGCTTCGCTCATCCGACGCCTCCACCTGTGATACGGTTTGCTCTGATATCCTCCTTTTGTGTCGTATTATGACGAAGTAGATACTAATGTAGCAAGCTATTATGGTAGTAATCGATATAACCATTACCAGCGCAGCCCCAATGTAAATTGCCACAGACCTTAGGCCAAGGTATGGAGTAAGCATTAATATCAACAAAATGGACCAGTCTATTGCTATGACAGTCAAGCACTTTCCTTTGCTTTGAAACTCTCTATAAAGAAACGGACGACAAATGGCGAACCATCTATCGACACTCACTATCGCCATAGTTGTGATTGATGCTCCAACACCAAAGTAAGCAAAGAATATGTGAACTTTTTGCAATGTGCAGTATGGACCATTTGTCTTGCCTAAAACTTCAAGGATTCCCCTCGCAACGTATATTGGCTGGACCATAATCCCAATCAATAAGTCAGATAAGCACAAGCTTCCGAGAAGGACGTTTGACTGGGACTGAATTCGTTTATTTCTTGCAATGGCAATTATAATAAGCAAATTTCCAAAAATTGCAAATAATGAGAGGAGTACAGTTAGAACTGATGTCACGATTACTGTGTAGAAATATTTTGTTGTGACAATGGCAACACGGCATTCAAGTAGATCAGGATATTTCATTTTTAGAGAGCTTTGGAGATAGGTTGTACGATCTGCTTCTTCTTCTGTCACCTTTTCTTGTCAGTTTATTTTCTTTTTGCTCAGTGTCTTCTTTCCACTGATAAGGATGTAACATAATTGTTATGAATAATTTTATGAAGAATTTAAAGGCACTTTTGATTAAAATGAAAGCACGCTGAAGGAAAAATGATCAATAGGAGAATGTTTTCAACTATCCTATAAATCTGATTCTCAAATCAAAACAGCCTGCAGATTCTATGCAGTTATCGAATTTATTAGAAATTTTTCGAGTACAAGCACAAAATGATTTTTAGGCATCATTTTGAGCAAATGTTTAAATATCAATGGTACAATAAAGCAAGCAAAACAAAGGGCATAAGTGAATGTGACACGTGAAAGTTGACATCGACAACATGTTGCATGGTCTAACAACTTCTTTTTCGTAAGACGAAAGTGTTTTGGCAGGCAAATCCGATTTTAACAGCACTTGAACAAAACATTCTAAGAATTCGGTAAATCATTTTGATTGTTGTTCGTTTAATAGCCTCATTTTTATGATCGATAAAGGCACTTTTTCTTGCTTACCAGAGTAAACTTCCTTTTGCTGTAAACAGTTCTTTGAAATTCTGAGACTCTTGAGTATGATTTCGTTTCCCTATCAAAATAGTAAACTGGCTAGGATTTGAGAAGGGCCATCAAAATAATACCAACGTTAATGATGCTCTTAGATGCACTTGATGCACCGGTCACTGCAGCTGTTTAATCAAATAACTTTGGCGCTTTTTCAATAACCTGAGTGTTTTAAAGGCTGATGATATTTGAAATAGAAGAATGATTGATACTTTTCAAAAATGAAGCATAGATTCTTTTTTTTCCAAACTGCATTCTTGCAAAGAAACGAAAAAAACAAGAAACCGGAAAACTCGAAGGTTTCATAATTTGATAAAACACAAAACGCTATTTAACTTACCCTTTGTGCACTTTTCAAGTTTCGATTCAATGTATTATCCAAGATAAAATTGATCAAGATATCCAAAAGATCTTCAAAAATGCGTAAAAGAACCGGCTTAGAGATTCACGTCCATGTCATCTGAGTGTTTTGTTGTTCTCCAATGGCAGCGAAGAGAAAATACCAGACTGGACTAAATTAAATCAATTTCCCGAACTAACAAAACTGAAAATACCGATTATTGTTTGCTCAAGCCAAAACGAATCTTTCTCTGAGGAACAAACGCTGCGTTTGACTTGTTGTTGATGTTTGCAGGAGCACCAGCTTTATCATTCATACATGCCAGTATGAGGTCGTCCGGACAGATTGCACGTGGCATCACACCAATAGAGTTTATAGCCACATGAAGGAGCATAATATCCAGCCTGGACAATGAAATCTTTTGGACCTTTTATGGCGATTCTGAAACGGTGAAAAGTCATCTTCTTGATCAGCCATTATGATCGACTAAGCTTTTTTAGAAGATAAGCAACTTTGCATTATTTTCTTATTTTTGCACTCTTAAGTCTTTTTGGAGATTTCTCAAACATCAAATGCCAAGGAGCTACTTTTAAGAAATGAAAAAAAGTGACATAAGATAACATGAAATAGAACATAAATAAAACATTGGATTCTCGTCGTCGTTTTGCTTTGTTCCTGAATAAATATACCTGATCAGTTACACGAAGCTTATCTTTCTATTTTCTATGCAACTGTGAATAGTTTTCTAATCATTTAAAGATTCGTTTTTGTTTCCATAAAACCTTTTAGAGGTTGACTTCCAAGCAGTTTTTAAGGCTGAGGATGAAGCGTTTTACGGGTTTTTATTTCTTCGGTAATATAAAGAATCGGTTTTCTAGACTGTTTTTTGCTCTTATTCAATTTGGCTTGTTGCGCTATGATCCAGATTTAGATTCTATTCAAAACCATTCGAATTTTTACGTTTTAATGGTGCTTATAGAAGACGAATTTTATTCATTTTAATCAAATTTTTTTCAAATTTTAATCAAAAACCAAGATACACTGACTGTAATATAGAAGTGCATATCATGCAAATATCTTTTCTTTGGGGATAGTTTTCAGCGAAAGGAGCCGCAATATGATCTAAGATCAAGCTCCCTTTTTATGCTGCCACGAGCGAAAACATCAAATGATGAAACTTATTGGTCTTTAGAGGTAGCATTCTCTGGAGCCAGCTGCCTGACACTGAAATGCTCGCCATCTATTTTAGGTTTTAAAAAAGAGATAAAAATAGTGGAAATTTCACTTGCAAAACATTTGCAGGAAAATCACATTAATTGTATCAATGTTTGTGCGTGTAAATGAGCCAATTTTTTAGCATTGACTTCCTTTTTATGTAGACAGTTAGTCTGAAGTGTCTATTTTGAAAGCTATTTCATAAAAGCAACTGTAAAAAACTCAATAGTTATAATGATAATAATAGCTTGCAAAAATTAGCAATTTCACTGACTGATTATGGTACTAAAACGCTTGCACAGAGGCGGATCCAGAGTGAGTTCCTTGGTGCACAGAACTCAGTCATTTCTCCAACATATAGTTGAAAATAGTGTTGCCTGAAAAAAGTAATGTCTAAACTAAAAAAGTGAAGCCTGAAAATTCTGAGTTTTATCACAGTCTCTTCAAAAATCCTGAAATTGCCAAATTGATGTAAGTTGTTCACCCTTTTCATTCCTCCTTCTCTGTCGTGATTATGAAACGATTTTCCAGACGCTATGGAGGATAACAGCAGTCAATCCTAGAACTCGGAAATGAACGTTTTGTGCCTCGGCAGAGAATGAATTGAAACAATGAAAGTTTTGTTTGAAACACGGATGGAACTTGGTCAAAACAGCATCTGGAACTCGGAAATGATACCATATTTGTAAAAGAGCTGTACAATGGCCCGTAGTTGATTGGCTACCTATTGTTTCTGTTCTATTGTGGAACTGCAAACATTGAAAATCGAAATGACGACTGCAGATGTCTTATACTCACGACTCTCGCAGCATTCTAGCGGATTAAAAACCATTTGAGATAAAACAAGGAAATATCGTTAATTTTCAGGAGCATTAACCACCTTGGTTTTAAATTTCAGTCTTTGCAGTCTTAAATGGCACGGGAGACCTATGCTCAGACGAAACACCATATTTTGATGAATATTATTATTATTATTATTATTATTATTTCTTTTGTTTGTGCTTGTAATAGTCTTTTTCTTTGTAAACCCAGGCTAGCCAATTGCAAATTACCTTTGTAATAGTGAAATTTGTAATTGTAGTTTTAATTGAATTGAAAATGAAAAGTTTCCATTATTATTATTAATCTTTCTAGCTACGTCACTATAAGCTGTCAATTAATCTACCATCTACGCTGATATACCTGGCTATCTTTCACCATCAATCATAACTGGAGAAAACCTTCGCCCTGATCTTCTCTTGAGGACTAACAACAATTACCTCTACATTTTAGAGCTAACTGTTGGCTTCGAATCCAATCTTAACACAAATGCTATAAGAAAACACAGCAAGTATGCTCCTCTTTTATCTGGTTTACAGCGGCAATTCAAGTTTGTCTCTTTTGTTAATCTTTCTATGAGCTCTCTTGGCATCTTCGGCAATTCCTGCATCTCCTTCTTCAAAATGTATGACTCTCTCTCCATCGATCAACAACAAAAACGGTATCTCATCTCTAAACTTTCCAACATTGCCATCTGTACTACGTACTACATATTTTATTGCAAAAATAAGCCATGAACAAATCCGGAAACACATCCTTTTTAACTTTGGTTGTTTTTTTCTCAGTTTTTCATTTTACCTTACTATTGTTATAGTTTTTTCTTGTAAACCAGGCTAGCCAATTGCAAATTACCTTGTAATAGTGAGATTTGTAATTGTAATTTAAGTTGTATTGAAAATGAAATGTTTCCATTATTATTCTCGAATATCGATACAGGATAATACTTGAGTAGTGACATGCATATCTACATATTTACACTGTTTTCCTAGTAGTCCTGGTAAAATAAACAAACATAAACAAAAATAAGTTCAAAAATTAGTTTACAATCAGCATTTATAAAATAAAATTTGAAAGCGGAAAACAAATCCGGACAAGGGGATGAAGTAGAGTTGTATAAAAGAGAGTTATACGATTGAGAGTTTACGTTAAAGTATAAAAGTTCTTCAATTTATTCTTGAAGGAAATAAAATCACTTTCTGTTCGAATTTCTTTCGGAAATGCGCGGCTCTCTATGCGTTCTATCCTTTGTTCTAAATACGGGGGTGTTGCACCATATAGCGAGAATGAACAGTACGCCAGAAGAGGAGTTATCATTGTTTGGTAGACAAGAGTACTAGTTTTTCTGTCCACGAAGGCTTGCATTTTTTTCAGCAGGTGTAGTCTAGCAGAAGCCTTTTTAATAGATTCATTTAAGTGATAAGACATGTTGAGATTGCATGTTAGATTGAGACCTAGATATTTGTAGGTCTTGGTGTTATGTATTTCTTTGTTTCTGTGCATAATTTGGATAGGTGTCTTTGGCTCGTACCAAACACCATAACATCTGTTTTGCCTTTCTTGGTGTTTATGACAAGCTCATTTTTGTCAAGCCAGCAGGCAAATGATTGAAGTCTGCATTTAACTGTTTTTAGATTTCGCCTACATCTTTTCCAGAACAAAACAAGACTGTATCATCGGCATACATCAGCATTTCGCATTGTGATAGTGCTTTGATTGCACTGTTAAGATACAAGATAAACAGGAGCGGTGTCCACGGAGGCAAAACAACAAATTGCGAAGGCAAAACGTTTCTGTGGCATCCAAGACAAGCAAAAGGGTATTGAGAAAAGGAGGGGGTTGCAAAAATTTTCACATAGGCACTGTTTTCTGTCAGAAAGAAATCTAGAATCTAGATTTAGTGAGCGGTGAGTACTACCCGCTCCCCTCCCCCCTCAGAATACCAAAATGCATTAATATGAGTAGTAATGTTGTTATCAATGCATTATTTGGAAAACACTGGCCTTGGCCTGGAACTCAGGCTTTTTGTTGGATCCGCCCCTTCTTGCACTCAGCAAAAACATGAACATTTGATTCTGTTTTTCGATGTACATTTTCTGTCCTCGGTGTTTTACTGTCAAATTCAATAGGAACATCAATGGCGCACTTTGAAACCTTTTAATGGTCATTCGATGTTATATATTCAAAACAAGACAAACTCAAGCCACTACTGGATATTCCGTTCACAGGCAATATAAACCAGCATCGTGGTGAACAATTGTGAATACATGTTTTTCTCTCTTGATATAACTAGTTTCGTTTTGATAAGAGGTAATTTTTTTGCTCTCTTGATATTTGCACGTATAAAGAATTTTGACTGACTATTTGTGTTTTAGACCATGTTTGGCTAGATTAAAACATGCACCTGTCGCAACATCCTTTCATTCCCAGAACAAATTGCTACTTTGCTATAGGACATGCAACTTAACACGCATTTTTCCGACTCACACTTTCAAGCAGCAGATCAGTGTGTTTTTAAATAGCTTGCTTCTACTGTTTTTAAAATCTGACGATGATCAGTGATTGGTTGAGGTTCAGCGGCAAACTAAAAGATAAATATGGCTTCACAAAGTGAATGTCTCTGCGAAGAGATAAAGATAGCTCTTCTTTCACGTCATCCCTGTTTGACGGAGACTTTATATTTATAAACAATTAGCTACGGAGGATAGCTAGTAAAAATCTTTACCCCCTTAACCACAATATGCCTTTAATAAAATCAAAAAAATACGACAATTTGCTTTGAATCCGTGAAGTTTAAAAGAAGTTGCTAATCCCTTGCAAAAGTTCTACGGTATCGTGTATGGTTACAAAGATATACTTTAATCTTGATTAAACAGTTTACTTCGATTTTTTCAACTTTCACGGAAATTGACAAGTGATTATGTTGCCAGCTGCTGGTTGACTAGCAACATTGATGAGCTTTTTTGCTTGGCGAAGTACACGGTTATTAAATGCTTTATTTACCAACTCCTGCTTTAATCCAGATATCTTTTATGAAACTAGATTATCAAAATTCATCGAGAAAGTTTTGTTTTTGAATTTTTTTGCTTATTATGTTGTGCTATTTATGTAAAAGCTATCATGTTGCAACTTTCTTGGACTACATCATTACTAGGAGGTGTGATCTGAAGGATTCCTGCAGCACCAGAGCTATGAGAGGAGCCGAGTGCTCTACTGACCATTTCATGATTCGCTCCAAGTGTCACATTAAACCAAAACCTCCTCCTATGAAGAAAAAAAGGGTCCAAACCCCCCAAGAAACTGAACGTGAAAAAGTTGAAGGAACAAAGTTTAAGGGACCAACTTGTAACTGCGATCAATGAGAATCTCCAAACACTACCAACTGGTGATGAACAGTGGAGATCCCTGAAGAATGCCGTCTATAGCGCTGCATCAGATGTCCTTGGCAAACCTACTAGGAAACATGCAGATTGGTTTGATGAATCAAATGAAGAAATCATGGAACTTGTCAACGAAAAGAATTCGCTGCTCCACAGGACACTAGATGATAGATGTACCAGAGGGACAAGAAACAAATACAGGGACGTGAAATCTGAACTTCAAAATAAACTACGACAAATTAAAAATGACTGGTGGACCTAGAAGGCAGCCGAAATACGAGTCTGGCAGACAACAACGACGCCAAAGCGTTCTTTGCATCATTGAAGGAAGTTTATGGACCACAGCGTGCTTGCTTAGACCCGGTAAAGAGTATTGACGGCAGCGTGCTCCATATAGAGAAACACAAGATTATGGAGAGATGGAGAGAACACTTTAATCTTCTGCTGAACCCAGAGACCAATGCTGATGATGATGCGACCAGCAGCATCCTGCAACTACCTGGCAGGCATCACATGGACGAGCCACCAACTGCAGAAGAACTTGACATGGCCATCAAGAGAACAAAGTGCGGAAAAGCTGCAGGAGCAGATGGTATACCACCGGAGGTCTGGACATATGGCGGACCAGCACTGAGAAACCAACTGTTACAGCTTTTCTGCAACATCTGGTCAACAACAGCAGAAGTTCCCCAGGATTTCAAAGACGCGACCATCTACAAAAGAAAAGGGGACCGTGCAGAATGTGGAAACCACAGAGGAATTTCACTCCTATCAGTTGCAGAAAAGATACTGGCTAAAATTCTGCAATTTCGACTACAGAGCCTTGCTGAAGACATTCTTCCTGAGAGTCAGTGTGGATTCAGAGCCAACCGATCCACCCAAGATATGATATTCACACTGCGGCAACTTCAAGAAAAGTGTGCTGAACAGCGTCAACCGCTCATAGTCACCTTTGTTGATTTCAGCAAAGCCTTTGACACGGTTCACAGAGAAACATTGTTGAAGCTATTGAGTCGCTATGGTTGCCCAGAAACTTTCATCAGAGTGCTACGGAGTTTCCACGACGGCATGTCTGCCAACATCTGCTGTGGTGATGGATGTTCAGACTCATTTAGTGTCGGACACGGCGTGAAACAGGGGTGTGTTCTTGCGCCAACTCTATTCACTATTTTCCTTGCTGCAGTCCTAAAAAGCATGCCAGAAAAACTTGGTGATATCTACATCCGAACCAGAGGTGATGGAGATCTTTTCAACCTCAGGCACCTCAAAGCGAAGAGTAAAACACTGGAACAACTGATTCAAGAGCTGCTTTTTGCAGATGATTCGGCTCTTGTAACTCACAGTCTTCAGGCAATGCAAGACCTACTGACAGCCTTTGCTGAAGCATCAAAGATATTTGGACTAACGATCAACACCAAGAAAACAGAAGTCCTAATTCAAGACACCCAAAACACAAAGCTGGACCCTCGTGAAGTGCTCCTGAACGGTACCCCACTGACTGAGGTAGACAAGTTCACTTACCTGGGCAGCACAATTTCCAACAATGGAAGTATAGACGCAGAAATAACGAAGAGAATCCAATCTGCAACATCAGCCTTCAGAAAATTGAGAAGCCGCCTGTGGGACCAGAGAGGAATCCATTTGAAGACCAAAATGAAAGTCTATAGAGCCATTGTGATAACAACGCTTCTATACAGCTCTGAAACGTGGACTTTATACAGACGTCACATTAAGAGACTTGATAAAGTGCAGCAGCGACATCTCCGCCAATTAATGAACATCTCATGGAAAGATCATATATCAAATTTTGAAGTACTGGAAAGGGCAGAAATGCCGAGTGTTGAAGAAATGGTTACCGCATGTCAACTTAGGTGGACAGGGCATGTCATACGTATGGAAGACAGCAAACTTCCAAAAGCTGTGTTCTATGGAGAATCGAAAGAAGGTTCAAGGAAGGTTGGAGCACCACGATTGCGCTACAAAGACGTATTTAAGAGACATCTGAAGAATACCAACGAGTATGAAGACTGGAGAGGAAAGGTCAATAACCGTGGGAACTGGAGGAAGGTGGTGGCCGGCGCTGCTGGTGCCATCAGGAGAAGAAACGTGCAACTATGGACCAACAAAAGGCTAAGCAAACTGGAACCAGAACCACCACCTACTGAGGCGGCCTACAAATGTGAAACTTGCAACAGGACCTTCAAGGCAGCAATTGGGCTGTCATCTCACTTGCGGCATAGGCACTAGCTCCTCCCCACGTCATCGTTGTTATCCACGGACTGCTAAAGTAGAAGACTTCGTTGAATAAGATCTGATGAAGACCTGGTAAAGAATAAAATTCGTAATGCTTAATTTCTCTATGTCAAAAATCAGTTAAGAAATTCTATAGATATTTCCCATTTAGGCCGTAAGTTCAATCTTACCGATAATAAAATCTGAACAGCTAACCATGCACCGTTCCCACTATCAGATTTGGCATGGTGTTATTTTATGTCTTCTTTAATCAACGTGTTCGCTATCGCACCTGCTTGGTACGGCATTCGAAAGGATCAGAAGATAAATTTGAATGCCTTTTTCTTTACATGCTCGTAAAATTGCATATTAGATACATCAAATAGGTTAAGGTTCTTTTTTCTTTGATGAGACAAACTTGTCTTTTGCTCTAGCTGTTACCTTTTAACGGTAAACAATCTGCTGAGGAAGAAAGTTTGATAGAATGCCTGAAAATCTTTGTAAAATATACGGACGCATGTTTCGTCAATAAAGCGAATTTATTGTACCCTGGGTTCCACGATACTTTATCCCCAGATCTATTGGGCTTTGGTAACCAGGGTAATTTTATTGCGATTCCCTCTTTTCAAAGACACAGAGAATGAGCCTACACTCCATATTTTTCTCAAATATCATCAAAAAAGATTCTTAAAATCAATATAGTTGTATCATGAAGAGCAGTAGGTTATGAAATCCTGTCTGCAAAGCTATCTGCATACGAGATTATAGGAAAAACTCACTACTGGCTTAAAACTAAATTGAAACATCGGCAACAGTACTGTGCATTCAATCCCCAACGTTCTAGCCAGAAACCAGTTCAGTGTGCTATTCCACAGAGATCTTACTGTAGTCCTCTAGTTTTTATATATTGTACATGAATGACTTTGAGCAGTGCCATTAAATATGTACGCAGACGATACAAGTGTTTTACAGGGGACATTTATGAACTATGCTCTGATTTGTAAATTGTATTAACAAACATTTTAGAATGGATGCGTTAGAAGAAAATGAATTTAAATAGTAAAAACTCTGAATTCATGATTATATGCCACAAAGGAGCCCTCAAATCAAATACAAAATACAGTGCATTTGGCAAGCATTTGGAAACTGGAGAAAAAAATTAAAGGTCAATGAAGCAAAATATTTTTGAATTTCTGTGGACGAAATCTATCACAGTTAGCACAGTACAAGCAGACAAGAAACGAAATATAAATTAGGTATTTTGCAAACAGTAAACTAGAAAAGATACTACAGCCACTAAACTTGACAGCGTCTATAGGGCACTGAAAGCACTTACAAAAATGTGATGAAGCATGGGGGGGGGGGGTTTGTGAAAGACTTGATCACCTTCAGCATTTGCAGAAAAGGGCTTAGACATTTATTGAAAGTTCGAAGTTGCATCATGGTTAAATCTGAATCTGGTTGCCTGTTTCGAACTTAATGAAAGGGCTACCATGATAAACAAAACAATCAATGACATGTACCCCCAGATAACATGAAGGAAAAATTCTCAGTAAGACGGAAATCATTATATATCGATGTCACGAGGCAAAAATTTGGAATTTTTAAAGAGAAATTTCTACTTCTATAGTGTTAAAGCTTGGAATGAAGTTCCACTGCATAGTACGCATTGTCCTGTTGAATGACTACTGGTCAAGTCGGCAATAATGCCCAAAACACGATCCCTAAGAAGGACAGATCTACATTGCTTTTAAATTCAATATTGTGAACACATAATTAGACATTATTTAGTTAACATTATTCTTAGTAAACATTCATTTGTGAAAATTATTTTAGTTATTTAGTTATAGTTGTTTTATCCTTACTGTCACTGTCACATCAGTTTATAAGGGGATTGTGCATAAATATTTTGAAATGAGATGAAATTAGTCTCTCTTTTTTCATGAACGAATGTTGCTTAGTAGAAATATTTATTGCTTCGTGTTGAGTTTCGGGCATCGCAACAAAGTTTGCAAGCTTTTAAGTTTTTAAGTTTTTAAAATTTCGAAAACGATGAATAGTGTTGCTGCGCATGCTAAATTTTTCCTGAGAGAAATATCCTCTATTTCAAGGGCACTTTCATGCATTTTGAAAAGGATTTGGAAAAAATTTCCTCTCGTCGGAGGGACTTTTCAATGGGAAGAATAATCATTCCTTTGCTTCTCTACTCTATCTTTACTTCCACGCTCGAAACTATACTGGTTATCATTGGAGGTAATTCCACTAAAGCCTTCATATTTAGACCAAGGCTTTTTTACTTTTCATGCAAATATTTTGCAGTCATAATTTTTCAATCAGGGGTGTAAGGGTGTGACACCCCCCCCCTTCTACGTGAGTTTGTCGGTAAATTCTTAGTTGGTGCCGAAATTCCCCGGTTTGTCGGTGAAATTGTCTATCGTTAAATTTGCACCGACATAGCACCTAAATGTCTCTTTGCTTTCATCGGTAAATTTTACTAGCCATGATCCATGACCCAATCCGCCCCCCCCCCCTTGTCTGGAAGCACAAGCTATGCCATTAATTTCAATCTTGGTTTGTGATGCTTGAAGACGTGAAGTTAAGCATGAAATAAAACTATTTTCATAAAATTTAAAATTTGCATTTCTTTCTAAACTAATTACAGATGTTGTAACCTTATATAACTTTTTGTATTAACATAATGTTTGTCATAAGGCTAGAGGTTACAAAATATCGTAACAATTGTCTTTCTCTTCAAGATGCAGCTCTAGACTTGGAAAGAACCCCTGCACTAAACAGCTTCACCTGCTCTGAGAAGTCTTGCATTGCTTTTCATCTTAAACTAAGAAAAAACTTTATGGTTAGGTAGAAGCCTGAGATAGGATGATTACTACAGTTGTGGTGCACATGATGAAATTCTTTGCTGGAAAGAAACTCTGGAAAAAGGTCAGGGTTTGTGATAGCTTTCAACAAAACCAAGACAAATTTTACACCAAAGATGATCAACAGAGATCATCTAGCATATCTATAAAAATTCAACATATTTGACCAAAGATACCTAGTGTAGAATATAAAATTGCGTTATTAAATGGACTCTCGACATTATAATTAAAAATTTTAACGATTGGAAGGAAAATTATCAAAAGCATAAAAGCAACAATCTCGATGGGCTTCGTTGGCATTATCATTGCAATCAATTTTCGTTCCCAATTTAATTTTGATGTCATCTCATAACAGTTTTTGATTTATCAAAAAGAAGCTTACTTTATTATGGTCAATCTGCAACTCTTTGAACTTCTTTTTGTGTTTGGCAACTCGCACAGTCTGAACATAGACGATAATGCTAAAACGAATATAAGCTGACACAATATTGATCCAGGACAGGCTTTATTGACAGGTATCTCTTTAAAAAGGATCTTTGTATGAAATTAAGATATTAAATGAATCAAACTAAGCTATTCTCACAACATGGGAATCACCTCATTTTTTCTATAAAAAATGTTTGACATCTATTCTAGCTCATATCAATTAAAACTGATCTGATCATTTACCCGTAACTCGATTAGAGTCCGCCATTATTGACTAAAAATTTCTCTAATGCCTCACCTTAGTACCAGTATACTGGGAAAGACAGCAGCAGATGTAAACCAGTTCAAGGTAAGAAACACCCAATTCGGTAACCTTTCCTTGCTGCTGGATATTTCATTCAATATGGCCAAGGGCGTCTTGTCTTTGAATGGACCACACGATGTACCATTCACCATTTCATGGTTCAGTTCACCAACAGAAACGTAGTTTCTAGAAAATAATTGCTTTCCAGGTAAGTTCTTCAAAAGCAAAATCCACAGACAGGGATTTTTGGCAAGACCAGACACTAGGAGTCAACCAAGAGAACTGAAATATTTTTTTATGGAAACAAAAATTCAAAATTCTAAAAAATATGCCTTTTTAGCCTGGAATTCCTTCAAATCATCTTTGCCACTATAAAGAATCGTCTGTCAAAACTTTTAAAAAAAGAAAAAGCTGTAACTTGATTGATGTTATGTTAACTCACGATCCAAGGATTGTAACCACTGGAACAAGCAGAGCACCAAGTGCAAAAGCAATGCAGGCCTTGTAGAAATATATGGCACCATCATTTCGAAACCTTTTCGCTGAGGCTTTACAAGTCCTTTTCAACAGGAAGTAATGGGTATAATAAACCATTGACTGAGACACTATACCAAGAAGAGGCATTATGGGGCAAAAGAAGGTTCCACTCCACACCACACTTGACGGTACACAACTTGAAGAACTATGGAAGATACATTAGGTTCCTTTTTCTTTTTCCGTATCAAATACCAAGAAGCTTTTAGGGCAGCCGTCGAAATGATCTACAAAGTACGAAAACAGATACTTCTACACAGGTTTCTTAAATTTTCACTAAATATATTGTTATTTCTCCTCAGGAATGTTTAGGTAGCCTAAGATGTAATAACCATGTGAATTTCATCAAACAAACTTACAACAAAGAGAATGTCGAAAACGATGATTTTGTAGAACTCCTGTCCGATGAATGTTCCTCCACATCCTTTGAAGCTCTTCTGATGAAAGACATGAGAGGCTTTATATTAAACGTGCCTTCTAATATCTTTACTGCTGAATATTATGCTCATCAATATAATCTACGCATTTTTTATGGAACTCAGCAATGTTTTGTAGAAAACAGCATACTGTTCTAAGCACATGTTCAACGGACAAAGAAAAATATTGAAGAGTTCATCTGCGATAGGCATTCTGAGCTTGAAAATGCCACATGCCGTTAAAAAATTTTTAAGATTATTCCATTAGTCAAGTTGGAAAAATAAAAACCTATGGATTTTAAAGGAGTAAATGGTTTTTTTTGTTTTTCCATATTCTCAATTATTGTGCCTTTTCCATATTCTCAATTAAGTATGGGATAAAAATATCTCCAGTCAATAATTCATTTGTTATACTAAATTTCAAGGTAACAAAACACAAAGCTATCTGTATCTTAATCCATTCAAAAATATACAACAATAACTGCTATTTTCTGTTGTTTTAAGGAAGCAGCGAATGAACAGAGCATATACCGTATTTATTCGATAATAAGCTGTGGCTCATAATAATTTTTGTCACATTTTGCTGTGGCTTATAATCAAGGAAGGCTTACAAACGAGGACGGCTTATAAAAGAGGGCGGCTTACTATTTTATCCAGATCCTACCATGCATTCCTGCTACCTTGAAGCTGATGATGATTATGTAAAAGATAAGGAAGAAGTACTTCTGAGCGCTTTTGATGATATTGTTTGGTGTGACCACACCTAGGTTTTTATTAGCTTTTGCGTCTGTCATTTCAAACCAAGTATGTCTGCATAGTTTGTGGGTGTGGCTTATTTTCCAGGGTGGCTTACATTTTTGTATGAACCCAGTAAGCCTCGGCTTATAATCGAGAACGGCTTATAAACAAGGGCGGCTTATAAACAAGGGCGGCTTATAATCGAATAAATAGGTACGTACGATCCGCTGGTAGTCTCTATACCTAGTAACTTACTGCTGACCTTAGAAGCAATAAATTCTGGTAAAAGATTATGAACTTTGGTTGATCAAGGTATGTAACTGTCCTGAACATTGGAATTTTGGTTCGCTTATTATCTTTATACTTAAGGAACTACATTGCAAGGAATTAGTGAAAGTTTCTGAGAATTTTCTGAGCAATACAGCTAGTTGATTATTCTAATTGTAAGTTTATAACGGGATGCTTACCGAAGTGACGGATGAGTACAAAGTAATCAGCAACACTATTATGCTTAGAAAGCGCAGGAAGAACACTCTGCAAAATCAACAGCTCATTTTAGTTCACGAAAAGTTTCAAAACATGCGCCAAAAACTGACTAAAAGTGACTCAAGTAAAGTTGCTGGCAAGAAAAAACAGAGAAACAGAAAATATATATACCTAAGTTCTCCTCATTTGCGAAAAAGTGGGCGCTATGCTCACCTTAACGTTAATTACACTTTAGTTATTGTAATAAACAAAAGAAAAGTGATGCGTGTAATATTTATCATATTTGATCTGCAAAAAGCTGTTATTTGTGCCATAACACTTGCATTATAGAGCCAGTTCTAGAGGCGGTGCTTAAGTTAAGACAAAAAGAAATATATACCTGATGACATTTACACGAATCTCAGTGGAAACTTTATGGTATCCTTCCATTTTTACGAGCTAAAAGAGCAAAAATGAAGGTAACACAAACAAATTTCAAACAAATTTATCAACTATAGATTTAATTCTTTAGAATAGAATAAAGGCTACAAATCTATCAAAGCCGTCTCCGTATTAAATGCAATAATAATTTGTCAGTCAACTTGCAATGAAAATAAAGTCTTGGGTCTTCAAAGCATTTAAGCGAACTGCGGGATCTCTTTAAACGTGCATCGTTGAAAACTTGTTATCCATTCAATGCTGGCTCAAGCCAGAAATTTCGCTTGAAGGTCACTCAACGAATTTCGATTTGAGCTTTCTCGTAGCATCGAGATTTAATTTTTTTTCGAGTAAGTAGGAATTGCTAAAATGAATACATTTCTAATCAGAACGTTTGAAGCTATGTTCCGCACAGCAAGCCTGGATGCAGAACAGAGGTCATGAAAAATCCTAATGATTTTACACACAATGATTTTCTCTTGCTTAGACAGCTTTGAATATCAATCTGTCACAGGTACCTCTGTCAAGAATTTAAGACTCTGACACTCACATTTTCGATGATAGGAGGGATGGCAGCATTGATAATGCAGAAGATCACAGAAAGACCGCTTGACTTCAGAAAATTGTGTACGAACTGCAAGAGAATATTTTTATTACGTCAAAGTAATAAGCTGGCTTTAAAATGAAAATCCTTAGTTCATAGCCAAAACCTTCCTTATAGTTTTGCTAAAAACCTTCCTTATAAGAAGTTGGTTTACACGCATCAGAAACCATGTGTTCCACACAACAAGAGGTAAGAGTAAGGTCCTATACGTCAATTCTTGGCCGTTAGATTTGCACCGAAAAAGGTTTTGTGTGTTTCGAAAGACCAAGAAAATGTAGTAAAAATATCTATTTTGCTCTTAAGAACTGTTTCACATGTGATTGACATTTGAAGAAGTAGGAAAAATCCTCTAGTTAATAGCTATTAACCGCTAGACTTAAGCTAGAACCAACCTTGGCATCTGCATAAGAGCCAATAAACTCAAAGACTGTGATATTTTTCATGAAGTAATATATCACAAGGCACGCTCCAGCTGTTAAACCCCTTGAAGAAAAAATTGATAATTTTGTATCATAAGGTATTACATTTTTACTGTATTACATTGATGTTCATTGCATTTAAATAGGAGAAATTTACAAAATGTAGCAAAAGTACAGGGAGAAAATTTCTGGAAAGAAACTATTTTCAATCTTTGGATTTTTACAGTCAAGTCTTTTATTTTGGTACAGGCAGGTGTGTATACGCCAACTATCTATCTTTGGGGCACATAAGTAGAATCTTAGGAATCATTTGCAGCAACTGGATTGCTCAAAAACAACCAGCATTGCAAACATATTTGAATATATCTTTAGGGGACAAACCCGCTCTGCTATGCTACCTTCTCTGTCTTGGGGCCGACAGGCGCTTTTCTTCTCAACTAAGTTGCTCTTTCACAGCTTTGGAAGAGGTGTACAATCAATAATTCATCGTTTGACGTTGATATGTGTTTTGTGATCCTACTACGTCATTGACTTAAGCAAAATACTTTAGAAAAGGACGTTGAAAAATTACTTACAAACTGATCAGCCAGGCGATACTGCGTTTGATGAAAAGCTTGAACATCCCTCCGCTAAATACATTAATTCAAGATGCTACAGAAGTCTGAACAATAAAAGTTTATAAAAGGTGAGTCTGTACGTAGGCGATGCTAATAAAATCAGAAAGATCGATCGGAAAATAGACCTTTACGAATCAAAAAATGTTTTGCTCTCTTTGGACATTTATATTTTTATATTTTTATTTCTGGCTGTAATTTTATTGCAGGTTTTTTAGCCAATAGATCTACTCGTCCACATATAAATCGACCTGGTAACTAGTTTAAGCCATGTCCGAAGGAATGTCTAAGGTTTTTCAGAAAAATAATTTTTATCTAACTGATTGTTTTCCTTGGCACTGTCAAGCTGGTCGGTGCGTTTAGATGCATTGCCAAAAAACTAAACAATAGACCTATTATGCGCGAAGTACACAAGAGCACTTTATAGCTCTCCTTTTATTGCCATTTGCTGGCGATGTAAACCACCTTAAACAAAACTTTTCAATTTAATATCACTTAGAAAAGTAGCGAAAATGCAAAATCATAACATTAATGTGCAAAGATAAAATTGGATCCAGTTAGCAGAAGCAAATTAGAAACCTTTGTCTGGATAATGCCTCATCTTTTGTTTTGGCTTCTGACAAACAATCCTGCAACACAAAAACATCAACATTTACTTGACGCAAAATAAATACAGAAATTACCATATAAACATAGACAGCTTGCAAGTTGGGGCCTATTTGCTTAGAGTTTATAAACAAGGAAGGAAAGAAAGCTTATAAGTAAACAAAACAATGCTTATCAAAAATTTGTATTTCTAACGTTGAAGTTCTTTTCAGGGTAACTAATACGATAACCGCAATTTGCGCAAAAACCGATCAACAGTAATGATTAGTGAACTCGCTTTTTAGTTTACTTGTAACTTCTAAATATCCTTATTCCCTTGTCAGTCAGTCAGGAAGATTCAGCATAAAGTTGTAACAGAACAAACCAATCAGGATCGTTATCCATGTTTATTTTGGTCCCGATACATTGTAAATCTACATAGTGTTTTAATATAACATACCTATAGATCTGGTATAAAAAGTGAAAAATAATGGTGAAATAACTTTTTCCAATCGTTACGTGATTGCACCAACATTTAAAACTCCATTAAAATGTAGTAAGATTTGTGCATTAATAGAAATGCAATGAGAACAAGCCAACGCCTTGCAATGCATCCTGGTATTCCATAACACTTACCTTAGCATGGGTGCTGACGTCAGATTTGTAGCTTTCTCGCTCCAATGGCGACCTGATTGAAAAGTTGCAAGATGCAAAGACAAGCAGGCTCAGAGGACTCCCACTTGGAGGCTGTTCTAATTTGGCCATACTGAAATAAAATATGCAAAATCTATAAGTCCTAAACACTGTTAAACTTAAAAAGCAAAAAAAGTGTAAACAATTTTTAGCATGCTTACAGGAAATTGGATCAAACCTTGCAATGTCAACGCCTGCTAAAAATACTTTTAAAAAATCTGAAATATTTTACGTTTTACATTTCTTTCTCCAAATGCTTTTACTCCCGCCTCCATTTCTTAAAAACGATATTGAAATTTCAGGCAAATATCAAACACACAAATATACACACCCTAGTTTCTGTCGTTGTTTTATAGAAAACCAATATTGTTTCAAGGGGAAATAGGGATGACAGAATTTTCTTTAACTTAGTTCCAAGACTTTTGACAAGGATTGTAAGGGCAACATAGGAATTTCATTTCTTTTTGCGAGTGTTTGAAATAGTAAGACCGTGGCGAAGTAGTTTTCAAAACTTATGCGAAAGAAATCAAGGAAATGTATTTTGTTTTGCAATTCGTATGCAAGCTTTCTTTCCGCTTTTTTATGAGTATAGGTAAGCCTTCTTGAATTGATGACAGATTTAAATCACAGTACTTTTGACTTTGGTATCATTTTGTTTGAATTATAACTATAATATCATAGGATAAATAACATTGAACGGAACAGCAAGTTCTATATTTCGGCAAATAAGAAAGAAAAATACTAGGACAAAAATTGTCTTTCCCTTAAGTATGAAGCTATTCAAGAAAGAACTACATAGCAAAAACGACTTGCCTTCTTAAAAGCAAGAAGAAAGTACCAAAAAATGTCAAAATTGCAAGAATGGTGTATGCCATATCCACTCGGTAGCTTCCATAATTGGCAGGATAGTTTCCATAAAAGAACCACAGTATCTCCAGAGGACCCTGCAAATGTTTTTAAGAATGTGAATAACGAGCAAATTGACAACTTGATGTTTAGTCAATGTTTGTTTGAAATTTTCCATTCATTATACTACCTTTCACTTTTTTTGTCTTCACAATTGTTTTTGAATCATTTTTTTCTTAATATTCTGAGCTGAATAGACTACATTTCTTTCTTTGTTTAAGATATGTTTGAACAAATTATTTTTGAAATTTATGATAATTTGGTATGTTTACTTGCCGTTCCTTCAAGCAAATTTTCAAATCTGTAGCCTGCTTTTGACAGCTTTTCGTATTGATGAAATGTAATCGCTGGCAAAGTTAGGAAGAGGAACCAAAGAAGAAACAAAAACATGTTGTGTATGATGATCCACTTCATGAATGAAAACACAGAGGCAACGCCACTACCAAAAGTACCTTAACAAAAAGAAGTAAAATCTTCGTAAATCTTTATAAAGCAAGGAATGTAATCAAAGGTATAAAACACTATTTTATTTTTATCATTATTCCAAATCAAGTGAGCTGCAACCGTCTATAAATAACGGAAGAAAGATTGACAGTGTTGTCACATGTCTAAATAGTTTGGATTAATCAGGTTGAATGCTATCTGCTACATTTTCAAGATTTAGCAGAAATGACAGAAATGAAGATGTTGTCAATAATGCTCCGAGTCGTATTTTTTTTGCTTGTTTTTCTTTGCAAACAATAAAGACAAAAAACCCTTCATATTAGTTAAGAGAAAATGCATTTGCAAGACGCAGGTCTACAATCATAAAAATTATGTAGAATTTCCCATAACGGTACGATACATTTCTTCAAATAAGGGTTAAAATGGTTTTAAACACTGGGCGATGTGCAGTTTTCCAAAAGTATTTGATAAATTTTCTGTAGAACTCTTCATTAATTTGAGCAAAGGAGTATTACCTCAAGCAGAAAAAGTAAAGAAATTGAAGCTGTAAAAAAAGATTTAAAAGTGCAATTACTTTCTATGTCCTTTATTGTTTCTTGAAACAGATCATTTTTTATGGCAAATAATTTTAGTCTCTTCTGCAATAAGGAAAGATTAGATTGATAAATAAGCTGTCATATATTTAGCATTAGAATTAAAATACCCATATCGTTACTAAACACCGATTTTGACTGAATTTCAATATGAATTCTAAAAGCATCAGCAATGAAATTCTTACAGAAATGTCGGCTAGCTGGTAGACTTCCCCAGCTAGGTACGATCGTGCTTAATGAAGGAGCACGCTTAAGACTAGCAACCCGCGCGCGACACTCTCACGTAAAGATTGACGCACAAAACGAAGAATTATGATTATAATTGCAGTCACTGTCATCGCACAAGTTATTTTACCATGGTATAGCTGCTCTATATCTATTTGTTGCATAAAGTTTTAAATAAACAAGGGAACGACTGGGTTTCATGTTGCTTTATTACTGAGTAACATAGGCCTAGCCCCCATGAAGACTCAGCTGGTTTTCCTAAAGATAAGTTTATTTGAGGGGAAAATTTGGCGTTTCTCTCGCAGTTAAAGTCTTCTCGTTTTTCTCAACCGGAATACATAAAGATTCTTGTTGCTCTTCTCTAATGTATTTAAAGCATGATAATACGTTTCATATTGATAATGCATTAACAAGGAAGGTTTTGATAAAAGGAAATAAAAATATTCCACTGTTTTACTCTGACCTGGGACCTTGAAACGCCGAAACGCTGCCTGCTTGTACTGAAGATCTCATCTTCTTCACTTAAAGAGAAAGAAGAAAAACGTTAAAATTGCGATGTTCATGCTGATGTTCATGCTGATGTTCTATGATTGCAAACAAAAAAAGCAAGAAACATACACACTGCCGCCCATTTTCATATTTCTATCAGGATTCCAAACTTCCATCTTTCCGTCTTTCAGTAAGAGTTGGGGTGACAGGGGTCGATCAGCAGGATGATGTTTATCTGCATCTCGTTTCATTTGTGTTATGAAATCTCTAACAAGCGATTCTGAACGATTCTGAAAGGAATAGGGGAAACAGTGTAATTATGTTCTAAATAATCTCGCATTTCTAATTATAAAAGAAATTCGTATATCTGCGGGGAAGCTCCTATTAAAAAATGGCTTATATATCACTACGTATGAGCACTTTGCTTAAAAAAACAGCGAAATTGCTTCATATTAAATTTCATTCTATTAACTTGATCTCTTTTACACAGATTAGAAAATTCTACAATGCTAGTTTGAGTTTTTGGCAAAAATACAAATTTTCTTAAATTATGTCTGCATTTTTGATAGGGCTGAGCCATCAAATTTGAAAAAAAAATTCAACATTATCCAGAAGGTAACATTCTTAGACATAAGAAACGCATTCAGTGTAAGTGCTCTTCATATTTTCAAAAAATAATTTAATAAACCGAAAGAATCAAAGCATGCAGGAATATGCCTGTCTTTCTATGTGAGGGGGGATTTTCAGAAAACATTGTTGCGTCTTTTTTCTCATGTCAACTTAAACATTGACGCTCTTAGCATTCTACAATAACAATAATCACTCACACTAACCTTAGTATTCTTTGAGAGACCAACGACTTTTGTCGACCCATCATTTGTTTTCCTGTTCATGTAATATGATTTATGTGTAAAGAATACAGCCGTGTTTTAAGAAAGAATGATTATGTTGTCAAGATACTCATTACAACAAAGCCTGACCTGCTTTTCAATGCCCTACAATTCGTACGGATACACCATTTTAAAGGCTATTCTTTTCTACTGTTCAACTGTTTTCAACTTTTCAACTTTAGGGAAAAACTAAAATAAGCTTTTTTCTACTTATCAAAACATTTTAAACTTCATTCCTCGGTATCCTGGAAATAAAAACTGCCGGCAAATTTTAGGCATTTAGTATTTTAAACAAAATATTTTGTCCTGAATAAACCAAACTATTATTTTACTACTGGCAGTATTTGACGGATGTTTTGCGGTTTCCTACTAAATGGAAAGAGCTGAGTCATCACAAAACGCTTGCATCTAAGAAGTTGTTACCTTGCGTTGGTTTTCTTCTTGCTTTTTCCTCTATCTGTCGTCACGTGATCATTTTCACTTACGATCCAGTTGTTTTTCATGCTTGGCGTGGGACAACTTCCTTTTTGTGATGGTGCACCTAACGTTTCAATGTTAATCATTTCGTTCTTTTGTTTATTTCTCTGTGCGTTTTCCATCGTGAAGGATGGTACATACTTGAGCATGCGTCATTCAGTGATGTTACAGTTATAAAGCCTAAGAAACAATGTCATTGCAAAGCTATACTTTATAACAAGATAAAACTAAAAAGGAAATTGTAATACACCAAGGCTACTGCTTTTAAATGGAACATAATATGCTGTTGCCTGATAATCATATCTAGCGATAATTTAAGAGTCGCAGCTTAGAACCGTCCTGTTCTATCCACCATCGAGCACTTTGACTAACCAGTAAACAGTAGTTCTCATTGAAACAGCAGGGACGTATTTAGTGGGGGGGGGGGGTAGGGGGTGCGACAGCCCCCCAATTTTTCGTGTTTTTTGGTAAACTTTGCTACCATTTTTTGGTAGTAACAAAATAATGCCAAGATTTCATATTATTTATCTTCTTATCTTGTTACTTTAAAGTTAAACACCGAATTTCCTCCGTTCTCTAGTAATTTGGCGGGTGTGGTAACAAAATCCAGTTAGTATCTAACAGCCCCCCCCCCCCCCCCAC